TGCCGATGATATTTCCATGATAGGAACATTCCGTGTTTGTTAGTAGCAACATCTTGATCGCGGGGGTTACCTCCTATCTCTGGTAGTTTTATACGAGATGTCTTGGATATGCATGGAAGTTCCATACCGTATGGGAGCTCCATACGTACCCAAAAACTCACAAGACTCACTTCTGTCCTCGCGCCACTCTTCGCGAAGTTAAACGGGGTAAAAGCTACAATAATATAGGGGGTAAAACTAGGGGGAAGTAGCGTCAGAATTGACCATAACTAGATCACTTGAATAGAACAACATCAAGTGGAAATCGAAGTAGCCTCTTCGTAGTTGCAATATGACTATAGTAGTATTGGTCTCTATTGAAATTCCCGATGTATGCATGGAAAAGTCGAATGACTGTATTGTTGTCATGATGATAATCAGCTTTATCATTCCCACTCCTAACATCTACAACAAAGTTGAGTACTCAGAAGGGCACCCATCATCCGGACAGACAAACCTTCCCAATGGACAAAGCTGGGCGCGAGACTCTATAGGCTAGTGAGGAGGAGGAGCAGGAAGACGAAACAGATGATGCCGATACAATCTTTACTTCGAAGACTTTGATAGGACGTGAAATCCACTGAAGATAGCTTCGAGCAATTAACCCGACCACTGTTGTGGAACACAAGTCCATATGTTTTACGTTATAGTTGAGCACGATGTCTCTCTAGGTGAGTCACTCTGTGTGATACACTCGGACACTATCATTCCCTCTTCGGCAACTAAGAACGCTTATCCTTTCACTATTGATGTCACTCTTCAGATACTAGCGTGCTGCAACCATGTAAGCATATCCCTACATAGCTTCACACATACGTATGAGCTTTTCGTGCACCATAGTTGAACTTTAGTGATCAATGCCACTGAACATCCTCTTCGACCATGTCCATATGCCAAAGTCACTCATGATAGTAGAAGTTACGATGCTATCAGGTCTGTTCTCACAGTTGGCGAAATGTATTGGTCGTACATCATCATTCACCCCACACTGCTGCTCCTAAAGTGATCAATGGTAAAATCGCTACATATCCTTGAGCGCACCGAAGGGGGCTTGATTATAAACAACGCCACTGACTGGAAGTACGTGGGTACTTTAACAGCATAGTTGCTTCTAGTTGCCGCTCAGGACGTTCATTAGTCGTTTACCATAAGTCAATAATCATTCAGGATTATATTATTAACATCTCCATACTACTACTCAACTAAACAACTCTTATCGTTCACGCACTGCTATTTGCGCTCCTTTTTGTTTTGTAGTAAATTATACCTTAGTGATGGTCCCTTTTGATGATGATGCAATAATTATATCTACAGTTCCTTCTATGCTCCAGGGACAGGTTCCCCCAACATGTCGAATAATGATTTCTTATCGAGAGGGCATCGAACATTAGTCGGATCCTTCATCGATGCTGTCTTAAACCATTTCTCGATGCATCCACGATGATATCTATCATATACTATCCATATAACATCTAATACCATAATAATAGTAACTAACCTGTGCTCACAAGGCAACTCTATGACGGCTTGCCTGGTCTTCATGGGCTCCAAACAAATCGTACCTAGAGTGATAATGATAGATATACAAGATGATGATAATGATGATAAAGACGACTACTTTATTACATTCTCTCCAATCCTTGGTGTCGGGATCAATATCAGCCTTCTTGATGATAACTCTGGTGCATTTCTTCATCATCTGAGTATTATCCAATCCTTACCACCCATAAGAACATTGACCCCTTTACCGCGGGTATAGAGGGTGGAGGAGGTCCTCGTCGTTGTGGTATGTGTCCACGTAGTAGAGCTTCAGCCACCGAGGGGTGATACATGTTGTTAACAACATGCTGATCCTGTAGGCCACTTCCTGGGATGAGCCAGTTATATGCCTATAAGCAGCATATTGAATGATAGTGGTAGATGTGCTCTCTTCCTCTTCATATTTTCTATCATTACCAATATTCCCTCATGCAAGCCATTATCAAAGGTGATCATCCGTCGTCCAATATCCCCGACCATTATAGCTTGGTCGGGTATTCGGAGATCACCCCCACCATGTTGCTGCTGTTGTTGCTGTCGTCTGTTATTACGCCGACGTCGGAGTTCACTGCAGATGGGATACGCCGATTCACCGAGGGAAGGGGAAGTTGTACCCACCTCTCACGATCCATCAGCCTTCTACTCCTTAGATGACTCAGAGTGGTGATGACCTATGAGAATATCCATTGACCAGGGGTCGAACCTGGGCGGATCCCTGCCTTCCTATTGCCTACCCGATCCACTTCCGCTTCATCATTAGCAACTGCATCATGAAAGATAACATCAATGCCAACATCTGTTGGCCGGTACCTACACCCATTGCTCACCTCCAAGACTAGAGGTATGTTACTATTATTACAGAGCTCGGCAGTTGGGCGTACACTCAAGATGGATGGTCCTCACTACACTCCTACTACGGTAAGAGAGAGTGGTCGCATTAAGAGATATATTCCCATGACATACCTGTATACTTAATATCATACTCAACATCACTCTACTGCTGCTGTTGCTGCTGTCTATGATGATAATGATTAATATTACTTCGCATCTTTGCCGATTCCCTCTAGGGTATCGGATGACATACAGAGGCATACGATTACCAGCATCATCATTACCCTCCCCCTGTTGAGGAGTAGTATCGACATCTCGTAAGTCAGGTAGGTTGCCAGTATTATATCGTCGAACACCCTATACATAATACCGTAATGAGAATACACCCATGACTACTACTACTACCCCTGCCCTAAGCCGTTCCCTATTGGCTCTATTGATAAATGCATTAGGTAGTGGATGATGATTCATAGGAGGCATCATCATACCGCCTACCTCTACGCGGACAGGAGGAGGATGAAGGAGGTTGTTGTTGTTGTTAAAGCCAAGATGACGGTCCAATGCCTGCATGAGGATAAGAGTAGGAAGAGGCGGGTGGTGTTGGTGGTGGCCTTATAACCCACCTGTAATGCTCTCTGGTCCAGCCTAGGTCCATGCTCCCTTCTCAAGACCCAATTAGCCCCTACCGCCCTACTCTCCCCTACAAACTCTACTTCATCGTCATTATCACTGGCCTCATCCTCAGTAATTGCTATTGGTGCAGCTCCAGCCTCGAAGTCGGCGGCAGCCTCATCATCATCCAAATCTACTTCAATAACAGGCCCTGAGGCTAAACGATACAACACCAAGCCTAGTGGACAATACAACATTACCCCTTTCCAAATCATCTCCATCATCATCATCTGAGGAGGAGGAGGAAGAGGATGATGATACCTCTAATACATCTGCCGGCCATCCATCATCATTATCATCTATCTCGACCACATCACCATGTGTGCACGGCGCCTGATAGGTCACCAGATGCATAGTCCTCAACAACAACAACAACAAGAAGAAGAAGAAGAAGGACCATTGTCAACTTACACTGCTAGATGACGATGACGACGACGACGACGATGCAGCAGTAGTAGTAGCACTAGTAGTATTGTTGACCACTGTGGCCTCTTCTTGGTGGAGTAAACCCTCGACCTTGATGGGACGTATAGTGGAAGAAGAAGAGGAGGAGGAGGAGTAATGAGGGCCTCCTTCTGAATGTACAACCGTCACTGCGCCACGAAATTATTCAAGGATTACCAGCAAGACGTAACCGCTTCCTATTAGGTTCCTCACCCTCTGGCCCAGCAATCCTCCTGGCCTCGGCAGCTTGCAATCTTAAAGCTCCTGAATGATGATACTTCAACGATTGATAACCACTACCACCACCACCATGATGATGATGATGACCACAATGGTCCTACTACTTCGATCATCGACTTCTTCTTCTTCATTATCACCATGTGGCAGTCGTGACTCGATCTCATGATCCATCCTAGATAAACTTATACGATAATATAATCCCCTCCTCCTCTTCCTCCTCTTCCTCCTTCACACAACACTCCTTCATAGTAGAAAGTAGGGCCAAGTCATCGTGTATGGACGATCATCATCATCACACCTAATATATATCTCTTATCATCCCGTAAGTGTACCCCACCTGCTGCCGACATCACTATACCCCTGAGTGCTAACTATAATGGCTTATACTGTGTAACAATGTTATTATTAATATCAACACAACAATGATGAGGTGAGGTTATGTATTATTATTATTACGACCACCACTTGAAACTATCATCAACAGGTCGATCAGTTGCTGGAATCGAGAAGGTATTAGAAACTGCGCACTGGGGAGGATAAATACCACTCCTCAACTAACTTCTGGTAAACGATAGGGTACGACCCTGTTACCTTCAATCGATTCATAAGTAACCTGTCGACCTTATCGGAAACCTGAGATGCAGCGACAGCACTTCATAATCATCATCATCATAACATCTATTCTACATGATCATACCAATTTATTTTCCACCACCCTGAGCTGCTGATCCAAGACCTAGGAGGGTATTCTGCTTCTCGGGTAGATACATGACATTAGGAGATTTAGCCAATGTCTCAGCAATCTCTCGTGCTGCATCAATCCTTCTAACCTAATCATATACCAACTAGAGTGATGATGATGATACCCCTCCCTCATTATGATGATGATTACCTCAATAAGACCAGTACCATGTTCTTTAAGGGCCTTGGATATCATAGTAGCTGCCTGAGCCTCACCCTCAGCTCTTATCACTGTTGCTATCCTCTCTTGTTCGGTCTCTGAAGTGATCGTAGTATTGCCAATCTTATATCCTCCCTCCGTCATCACTCATTACTAGCAACAACAAACTTCTGCCTCTCAGCTTCCTGCTCGGCAACCTGTTTCTCCTCAATAGCCTTGGCAAACTCCTTACCATAATTCAAGTGAGTGATGGAGACATCATCCAGAGCAATCTAATGATAACAACTTTGATTACCAACCATGACCGCCCAGTTGGAGGCTGCTCACATCAAATGCTTGGCATCGATCCACTACAGCATTCCTAATCTCACGAGATACCTTCTCTCGTTGTGTTAGAAGCTGTTCAGCATTATAACGAGCAACAACTGCCTTCAACACCTGATGATAATAACCATGACCAACTCCCCTACTACCCTACTACAGACTGCCTACCTCATTCCCAACTGAAGGTAATACTCTCTCAGCATAGTCCGGGCCAAGAGACTTGTGAATAGCTGGTAAACGATCAGTAACAGGACGATACAGCAGACGGACATGAATAGTGGCCATTTGGAGATCCTTCGTACCTATAGTATCTTAATGTTAATAAGGATATGTATTAGGACATCTACCTGTAGTAGTCTGAATAAGTTTAGGTTTTATCTGTATTGAATAGACATGTGGTCGTTGAAACCATGGTATTCTAATATGAGTCCCTTCACCATATATCTTATCAGATACACCACTGAATACCTAATAAGATGACCAAGCTGTAGAGGGAGGTGGAACTTGTTGTTGTTATGATTACACTCCACATGACTGCTCTCTGACCACCATCTACATTAAAAAGGCATGTATTGCAGAATAAGCCGACTCCTCCTGCACCAAAGGCTGCTAATGCCAAACCAGATAGGAACTTATCAGCTCCTGCAGATGATGCACTCGCCATATATACTAATAAGAGGCAATCACTACAACAACAACATCAACAACACTTGTACTCGCCCAACTTCATCATGACCTTAACCTCTCGAGTATCATTTTCACGAGCATCAATCGATTAGCGCTCGCCCATGTGATCGATGGACTGCGCCGCATGTTCGCCTCTCCTCGCGTGAAGTGGAGGATAGACAACAGCAGAGTGCAGAGTTTGTAGTTGTAAGTCTGTTGAGTCTCATAGCGTTACTCTTGTGGAGATGTCGACCTAACTACAGGTCATGGTCATTAAACATTGTTAAAGTAGCGGCGGCAAATGAGGTGGATACGAGTCCTAGTATGGTCATTAAAGGACCATACGATACACTAACCGTAGTAGTAGCAGGTAGAGGAGGAATTGACTATAATACTACCACATACACTGTATATCCACTACACATCCCGTCTACTTCTACAGTAGGAGTAGACGGGATTAAGTTCAGGTCCGCATATGGAATGGTAATACAATAGATCGTTAAGAGAAACATTAAAGGAATAAAATACTCGGGTTGGATGATGCGTTATTATGATGGTAGAAGGCTGATGATGTTAATAGGGTTAAATGGCAAGAGACGACCATGGATAGATGTCACCATCATATACGCCTAGGTGGAGCAGTTATGTTCGGGGTGGCCAGCCTCTAGTAATATGGATATCATACTCCTGCTAATATGGGAGGTGGAGGGTACAGATGGGCAATAGATTTACGTTACGGACCGTTACGACTGATGTTTACGACGCTTACGGAGGCTGCTCCGTAACATAAATTACGGATCAACACGTACACTCTGACTCATATCAATTACGATTTCGTAGCTCTTAGTTCCTCTTCCCCCTCCCTCATGGCTCCTCTAAAATCCAACAATCTCTGGCTAGCTAGCCCGCAACCCACAGCTTAGGAACTAGTATACAATGAAGAAGGGGACTCAGTCTCCGCGATGTGGGCGATGATGCATCAATATAAATAAGAGATGTGCGCGAAGTGGGGTGAACCATCACGAGAGCTCATGCAACAGCTCGCCGGAGAAGAAACCTCTAAGTTGTCCATGGAACTATATCTAGCATGAGTGGCACTGAGGAAGGAGGGCCTGATGCAGTTTGTCATCCACTCGGGTGTACCATTATGCGCGGTGAAAGATATTTCATTCAAGAAGTTCCTGTAGTCGTTGAACCCCAATTTTTCCATGCTAAGCCGGAGAGAGCTAGTACCACTGGAGGGCATCGTTGATTATTGTGAAGAGGTGAATGAGGTGATGAATAAATCGTATGATATATAATCATCAACAACAACTACTACTACTAATCGAGTAAGGCACTCAGGTACATTGATGTTGAAAAGCAGCAACGGCAGTATCACCGGTGAAGGATGAGGTTAGCTACAGTACAAATGGTGTTGCATTAGTGTTGTTGTTTAGTAAGGGGGTATTCCTACAAAATGTGCTGTAGTCATAGAGACCATATCAACAGCTGATAACCACAAGCTCTCTACTACACAACAATCGATTAACAATTAATATAGTACTGCTAATTGTTAGACCTAAATATGATGATATCATACACTACTATACATACATCTTCTAATTACGGAGGAGGAGCATATACCCCAACGACAGGCAGCACTTTCGCGTTGTGCATGCGTGCAGAATTATTCTGGCTCAACTACGAAGCATGGGAGGCTATCAGATAGATCAAACGACTCCTCTATATGCGGAGGTGTTGGAAAAAATCGGAAAACTCGATGATGCGAACAGCTAGAGAAGATATGCACTAAAAACTTTGATGACGGGAAAATGTCCTATCCGGGGATCGAACCGGGCTGGACCTATGTCATATTCATTGATCTAATCAATAGACGTGGACTAAGTGAGCTCCTCCGCCCCTTCGTCACGAAGGCCTAGTGCTACTCCCTCTTAACTGCAATCATCTACACTCCATCCTTGATTACAGTTCAGTAGTTCATGAAAAGGGCACACTAACCAGAGATATGTGTTTGGCCTTGATGGTATTAGGACTATAGCATTACATATTAGTATCCGAATGCCAGTGGATGTAGATAAGGATTTGGGTAAGGTTACATTACGAGTCATATCGGACATAACGAGTACATACTCCCACTATATCAAGCATCATTGCACTAACCATGGACATCATCCTAATACACCATAATTAACGATGTCAATACTGATTCATAATAAAGCTGGATGAATAAGGAGAAGATGATAATATAATCAGTCGTAAGGTAATCCACTATCAACCCAGGGTTATTAAAGTAATAATAACTCGACTATGGTGTGGTGATGTAGTGATTACGGATATTACCACCGTATGAGTATTATCCAGTGTCTTCCTAATGATATCCTTATCATCATCCTATTCATAATAATAACCATAGATAATACTTATGGTGGTTAATAATACTATAATGTTATATTATTTTACTTTTTTCTCTAATACATATCATTAGATAGATCACTGCTACTACTAGCATAATCATCCATAGCAATATCTTCACGACTAGTCTGGGACCATACACTACCTAAGTGAACAACAAGCATCATGATGATGATGATGACCTCCTATAAGCCTCCTACTTTGTTGATCCTCACTCTGCTGCTGCTGTTGATAGAGGCCTGATGATGATGATCTACTACCATTCTGTTTGGAAGATGATTGTTTAGTCGCTTGGTGATTATGCCCTACAATACCAATACTACAAGATACCATAGTATAATGTCAACATACCACTCCTCTCTGAATCACTGCTATAATACCCCCTTGCAGATGCTGGAGAGGAATACACCTCTCCAGTTTGCATCATCATATCATCTTCATCATCAGCCTCCGAACCAGTCGTATGTCCATGAACATATCTTGATGTAGCCTTTACGGCAAATAGTAATAATCCTAATAATAACAATACAACAACGGTAGTCATAGTGTGATTACGTTTATGTTTATTATCATTAAAAAAGTAATGAAATTGCCATAGATGCGATCCAGAATCATCATCAGCAGCTGTAAGAAGGCTCAAGTCGTCGACCTACTTCATATCATCATATATATATGGTTATTATTAGTGGTATTACCAATTCATAGACATCTGTATCTATAAAGCTAAGACAACTCTGTACTGCACTCCATAGCTCAGCTACTAATCCTGGTTGTGCTAGGTCTAATGATGTACCAAAGTATTGATTCACTTCACCTAATAGCATCACTCATATGCTATTATTATTAGTATTATTACTGACAACTTCACCAGGATCCTCCTTCTTAACAAAATGATCAGGACTTAGAGTATTGAATTGATAATCAGGGAATGTATCATTTAATGCCCCTATTAATATAACCAATAATTGTCTTGAATGTTGGGCTGTTGCTGATAATGGTCCTGATGATTTGAGTAAGTGTGGTGAGGTCCTTATCTCATTATTCTTCTCTATTGGTAATAGTTTATTATCATCATTACTACTATTAGTAGCAAATAGTTCAAGTCTACAATCTAGACGTAGATCAGCCAAATCTAGAGTATTGATACGGGCTGATATCTGACGTAATTTATGATTATCAATCCACTGCATATTGATGATTGATAATAATAATAGTAGTAGTACAGCTTTATAGTAGTACCAGAGAGAGAATGAGGGATGAGACAATAATGACGGATAATAATAATATACTAAATACATCGAGATGTATACCCACAACATACGACAACCCGAGGTGAAAAGGTAAAATCTAAGGAAGATCTCCATTTCCAAGGGAACAATCTCGCTCGCCCATTTTTCACTTAAACGTGCTGGCAGCACGGTAGCCGCCGATTGGCCTTTCTAAGTACCCATCGGTGTACTTATCTGTGTGATAACGTATGTAACTGAATTCCGACGCCTCGAGCTCCAGGCAGGCGAGGAGTAAGCGTCCTGAGAAAGCTTAAGAAGCGTTGCGTTAGTAGAAGGGGGTCTTCGTGATTTAGCTTGGCAGATCAAACCCGCAAGGAAGCTCGAGGTGGCTATTGGCAGCTAGGTTGCAGAACAACATTTTATCACGAGAAACTTCGTGATCACTAACAGATTTCTAAACGTACGAGGGAGTTGGGTCACCAATGAAAGATAAGCAACCCAGATCCCTTAACAGCAAGGCAGAACCCAAACCGCAAAACCAAAGAGAAAAGAAAGGATTGTAGGTGAGAGCGGGGAAAGGGAAGCCCGAAACCCCACCCGAAACCGGATAGGGCAACCCGAAACCCGAACTGTTATCCAGGGCAACCCGAAACCCGAGCTGTTATCCAAGGCAAGGCTGTTATCCAAGGCGAAGCTGCAAAACAAGGCCGGAAGGCCCCATTAGTGGAGAGGTGGCTTCCTTAGAAAAAGGCAGAAGTACCTTAGAAAAATACTGAAGTTCCTTAGAAAATGGCAGAACTTTCCTTAGAAAGTGTCCGAGGGCGAGCGAGATTTTGTCCTTAGATCGTACCCTGTAGCCTTACGATTTACCTTTTAATTGACAACCCGACATCAACAATCGATGTAAATAGCGCTCGCCCAGAAAATAGTAGTAATCTTCAGTTGCTCATGATTATCTTCTTTTCTAGTAGTCCAATATACGGTGTAAAGTATAGTTATGATGAGTATTGATAGTTGTAGTAATAGAGTGTATTGATATTGTTTACCATTAATAGGATATTACTAATGCCATCATCAACATCATCACATCATCAGCAGCAGCAGTCAGCTCCTACTGTTGGTAGTAGTTCAACACAGCCTATTAATGCTACAGAGGCCTTCCAAGCCAGGATTAAAAAGTATACACTTACCATTTTGTTGTTGAGCATGATCATATCTTAGATATGGTACAGTAGGATTGGGTATTATACCAGATTCCCTTGGTGCTCTCCATCTTGCTGAGACACTACAATCTACTAATACTAATGATAATGATGGTATAAATACTCGTCAAGATTTCTTACAGCTACTTGGTGATGTGGCTGAATATCATGTAAGTGGTCATGATAGTCATCATTAATATCATACCAATATCAGATCAACTCTCGTAAACGTATTGCTGATTTTGCAAGGGATTTGATTAAAAAGGATAGTGGTTATGAATCATTCACCTTCAGACAGTTATACGATATGTTATTACAACTTGGACAATGTAGTATCATATCACTGTTATGGTGTTATCATTATCGTCCCTTATAGGGAAGGACCCTGCTGAGGAAAAGGGTATTACTGATAAAGATATACAAACACTTGCTATGAAGTATGGATGTATCACTATTATCATATGCTTATGATATTATATAGGTATGATGATGATGAAATCAATGAAGCTGGTGAAAGGATGATGTTAGCTCAACAAGGTAGTAATAGGAGTATCATCATCATTAGCGTTGAGTATATCATTAGTTATACTATATTAGGTGGTATTAGCGTACCTCCGGTTAATGCTAATAAAGAGGTTGCTGATAGTATTGATAAAAAGAAGGTTATAGCTATCCATAAATACATGAATAAGACGTAGTACTAGTACAGACAGCAGTGTTAGCTGCTGCTGCTAACAAGAAGAAAGTGATGATGTCTTATTCTTATTATTCTTCATAACAGGTTCCTAAGATTAGTAGCAACCTTTAAGAAGATACCTCAAGAAGAACGATATAGTATGATACCTAAAGTAGTGGAGGCAACAGCAGAAGCTCATGTACTCACGTGCTCATCACTAGCTATCATCATTATAATCAGAGTCATCACTTAGGTTACTCTGAAGGTATATTCTGAGTTTCATATTGATGCAGATGATTTAGAGATGGCAGTACAACGTATGGAGAAAGAATTAGAAGAGGATAAGTCCTATCAACAGGTATGAATAATAATAATATCACTAACACATGCTACTATTATAGGAGGCTGAGATGTTGGCACATACTATGGCTAAATTACATGAATACTGTAGACCACTGGTAATACTAGTAGTAAGGGAGGGTATTGTACTATACCATCATGATGATGCTTGTTAGTTACTTGAGGATGAATTCGAGAAGATGATGGAGTTAGTTTATGAACAGAATGTTAGTACTCGTAAGGTATGGGCTCAACTATATGATATGCTATTCTCGCCTAGAGTGGATAGTGAATGCCGCCGACCAAATCATCATAAGATTGACATTAAGGTTGGCACTACCTACTACTACTACTTCCTATTCTACCCATTATTTTTAGACCGCATATAGAGAGTTCGTGAAACATACTAAGGAGAATAGTAAAGCTATGAAGGCTGCTGGTTATCGTAAGTAGTAATAATAATAATGTTATAGGAATTGGTATATCCTCAGCTGAATTGGATCCTCTGGAACTTGGTGATCTTTATGGACGTTATAAAGATAATGATAAAATACACAGACTATGGATAAAGTCAAGTTGTGATCTAGCTGCATATCTACAGGTAGCACTAATAGTACTAATATTGCCTAATATCACTATTACAGGTGATGATGGTAGCAGCTAGAAGTAATGGTCAGATGCCTCCACCTCATCCTCCTCCATCTAGTGTTATAAAGAGGGTTAAGAATATTACAGCATCACAGGTAGTACTCAGTATATGTATTTGATGATTAGTAAATGTATTAGGTGGTAGCAATGCAGAATTGTCTTACTACATGTTTGGGGTTAATAAAGACTATGATGCAAGCTGCTGTTGAAGATAGTCCTGAAGACCAAGTTTTTGATATACAATATGCATTACCATTTGCACAGGGTGTAGCATCTATTGCTATTGAGAAGGAGGATTGTGGTAAAGGTTTAACAGGAGAAGATCTAACTATTGCAGGCATGATGCATTCATCAGTTCTACAAAGGGATATGAAGTAGTAACCTGGTGGATGATGGCATCATGAGTTCGAACCCTGGTGACTCCATTATTAATAGGTTTATGGAGAACTCTATGAAACAACAACAGTATATGTCTGATATCATGGAGATGTGTGGTGGTATAAAGCCTTCAGGAGGTGATGGTAACTTGTATTATTAATATTATTATATACTTAGGTCTACACCAACAGCAACAGCAGCCTAATAACTGTACTATCATGTGATGTTGTTACTCATCATCATTATACTACATCACCTACTACTACCTCTGTTTCAGTGGATACCTACGTTTCAGAATGATTGCTACTACTACTACTACTACCGCTATGATGATAATAGTTACTATCAGATAGTAATAGTGATATTCTTGCTACTCCACATCCGTGTTGTGTTATAATTTAATACATGTAATGTTCGTGTTATATAACCCTTATAATAGGGATGTGGGGTTATGAGGTACAGGTATTTGAAGATAATAACAAGACAGCTTTAACTGAGAGGAGGGTCTGGACAACAACATGAATGATGGTATGATAATTTCATGGCTATTACAACATCATAATTGGCAACATCATCATCATCGTTTGAGAGTGTATACGACCAGACTTTATAGACCCATCCCCCACTAGTAGTGGGCCACTACATATTTATTATCCCATTCACCGAGGTTATCTACACCATAACCCACCTCTCCCTTCTTCTCTCTACCAATATTATGTATATCTCTATCATCATCATCAGGTTCCATAATCAAATGTCTAACAGTAACATCATCACCATCATCACTGATGATGCGGATCTGCACGAACAACGCAGCAGCAGCAGCAGCCGCCTTCCCCCCTATGGGAAACACCAATAGTTCCATAGTCTTCTCTGTTTCTTCCCCTTGTATATCCAATCTGGGTTTAAGCTCATTTAATTGAAGGTTGATATGAATATAAGGATTATGATTAATAACTCCATGGTAGATGGTGTCAGGGTTAGGTATATTGTTTATAATAGAGCTACTATTATCCAATTGATAGAGTTTATGGTCTTTAGCTAGAGTATTGAGCTCATACTCTATCATATTAGTTTCATCCTCTATACTGGCATATGACGACGAATGTACTTGCCTAAATTCATAATGATATGTAGTTGTATTGTAAATGATATGAGCCATATATTCATTACAAGATGATACTCCATAATCATCAACAGCATATACAGTAACAGTCCTATCTGATAGATCCCTAGAATGTAGACGACCATAGTAAGGTAGAGCCAGCATTTTAAGATGTGATACCACTACTGTATGCTTGTTATCAATCTTAATAGTCTTAATAGTATCTCTATGTAGCTTACGAGAAGGTAATGTTGGCCTAATATAATATCTACGATGAGTTATCCCACCAATACCATACAACCATGGTATATCATCATAATACTTAGAGCTATATAACACAGTTCTACCAATACAAAGGGATACTGATAGGATAATAATATTATTCAATACCAACCACATACCGGAAATGTAAATTGGGCTACCATATCTCGTGCGCCCCCCCCTTAATAAAATGATGAAATCTTGCACTCTTGCTACATTCCTCATTGTCATCATCATCATTAATGTCATTGTTGTTGTTGGTCGTCTACATAGTAGCTGTGAATGACATCAAAGGAGGATAATCAAGAAGGAAGGCATGATGATATAATGATGATGAAGAAGGAGCAGCAACATCAACATCAGCAGCAGCAGCAGCAGCCTTTATTACTGTTTAATAATACATTAACAACACCAACTACACCAGAGATATATATACAGCTACCTGATCATGGTAGTAGACATCATTTATCAATACCACCACCTCAACCAGCATCATTCTCTCAACAACTATTATCTTGTTTTAATGGATGTTTTAATGCTATATCACATCCTTTTAATCACTGATATATACTATCTATCACAGCAGTAATAATACTATGTACCATTCATCATCCTTATATCGGTACTCAACCATGATAATAACTACTATAGTTTCTATCAAATCAACCTTATTCTTGAGATTATCATTGGGGTTATTGTCATTTATATTCCTATACTGATGCATACTGAAGAATCTACTAATGATACACAAAAGGAGCCACTATCAGATGGACTCACCCTACCTAGGATAAGACTACAGATGGCATCTTGTGAGAGCTTACATACTGTACATATACCAACACCGGTATGTCGGCCGAACAATAACAACAAGAACACTTTAGTAATAATAGTGGGATTAACATAGCATCCATAGTCGATATGAAGGTAGAGATGAATCATCATTGTAGATCATGTAGTAGTAATAATAGGGTGATACTTGGAACATAACTTAGGATAATTAACACTATAATCGATGTTCCCTTTCTCAGAGGGAGGGTAGTAATACTACTACAAGAAGTGTTCGTGGCACCAACAGCAGCAGCAAGAAGAAGAAGAACCCATTATTGCGATTCCTTTGTTGTCGTGGTCCACAGTCTACAGTTGACAAAGTCGTGGTAAGTAGTAATGGTAATAATAACAGCCGACGTACTTGATGATGATAGTGTCAGCATGAATTGTTTTTATTATACGTCTTCCTCGTATCATATCTCGTCGAGTGTGATTATTCAGCATATGATGATATATTTTCTGATACTACTGCATTGATTTGGTTATATACCATATACAATCAATGAACTATAATCGATGATAACTGTCCATCATCATCTATTGAAGATGAACTTCCTCCTGAGTTTATATCCGATATGTAGTATTGGGGGGGGGGGGGGGGGTATTCTGGACATCATGCCAGGTAGAGTCGTAACTTGATGGAGTGAGTACGGATACACGGTTGAAGTACTCAGTCATATTTATCAGTTCGTCAAATATGTTCGTATTAACGATAATCGTCATCATGACCATGAAAACTGTATATTACTAATAGTACTACTCTAGCTATACTACATGTTCTAAAATCTACTTCACAGCTTGTAAAGAACTTTGTATTGACCGCTTATTGTTGTCTCTTGATGTATTGTGGTAATATATAATAAGGAAGTTCGATCCCCGTCGGATACTATTAAATATATCCCTGATTGGACTATCAGACTATCGTCAGCTATGCTCATGCTGATCATCAAACATGAACATTTCCAGACCGATAATGCACCGATGTAGTGACCGGGAACCGAACCGGAGACTCTTACCTTAAGAACAGTGGTATTCCTTATCTTTGTGATGGATCTGGGAGTAAGACCGTAGAGTTATTCGAGGGTGGGGGTGCTAGGTTTCGTGTTAGAGTACAATACTTAGAGCTGGATGATTAAGACTCTCTACAAACTTCATACCTTCCAATCAACCACTCGTCTAAGCAGCAGCTTTGATCTTATCGATAACAGAGAACATCTAGATGTACATGTAGTTTGTATGTTCAGATAAGACTATGATGCACATTCATTACTCATATTCCACTGTCTCAATTCAACAACTCTTTATTAACATCATCGCTTCATGTTAACATGTTATAATAAGAATATATTGTCAACTATACTTGTACGGCTGATTGTACGCCTTGCAATAGATGACCATAAGTATTGGAAGAAGAATGATACGAGATAAGCAAGGATAACAGCTGAGACCGGACTATCAGTGAATCGGAATACGAGAGAAAAGATGAATAATTCTAATAGGGCCGAATGTAGTTCATTACCTAATAATAACAATCATATTCATATACTCTGAATATCATCATTACTCTATATATTACCAATGGGTAATCCATAAAGATCAGAACCATATAAGAAGGGTGTAATCCATGCAATACCATTGTGATCATCAATTAAAAGCCCATCTTCTGATGATGTCGTCATTACACCTGTATGACTCTATCTAATTCTGTACAACTTGTTAATTTCCCTACTCCCAGTATATCCAATTATACTATCCTTAACTGTGGGACGTCTTACTATACCATTACGAATTGTTGATTCGATCCCGGCGAGTAATGACTGTTGAAATCTCGATCTGAAGTATGATCTTAGGATAAGTGATTGTCGAATAGTGGCAGTAGTGGGGGCAGCAGCATGACCTGAGTTCAGCTAACTTGATGATGCTTGCTTTATTATTGTTATTATTATTCCCAGATGTTGTGGCTCTAAGTATCATAAGCTCACTACACAATTGTGTTATAGTACTATGGAATGATAATGGCATGAAGATCTGATAGTAATAATAAGCAATGGTGAGTATCCATCCTATTATTAGTACTACTTCATATGTTTGTAGATGACATCTTTGTGGATCATCTGGAAGAAGTCCCCGTTTTAATAATAGATTATCCCTCTCATCCTAAATATTGAGAGTAGTAACATAATAGAAGGTATGTTTACATGTAAGTTGCACATCAATTGAGCAGTACTACAATCAGCAAAGCCACTAGGAGCCTTACCATGTATATACCATCCATGTAATGGCTCATCGAGTATCTATAATAATAGTACAGTATTATCACATTAACACCATTATTATTATTACCAATACACTTATATTAGCCAGGGAACATACATCTACAAAATCCCCCAGAGTATCACCAAAAGCTATTGTTACAAGTTTACGTAATAGAATCAATATCACGTATACCAGTACCCAAGTATTAATAGCAATAGTGTAGATCATTATAGGATTTAATGCATATAATAATGCATCTAATGTGAGATTTAGTGATGTAAGATTATTATGATGATAATAGACTTATTACCTTTTCCATCATCATCCCTGTATTCTTGTATTCTAGCATTTTTAGGTGTCCATTGTGTAATATGTAACCAATTGAATGTATACATAAATAGTAATACTAGTATCCATACTATTGATGATGATACTCTAGTACAAGTCGATCTCTCATTAAGCTCATTACCAATAAATAACATCCTCCATGTTGATATACCTACTACTATCCTCAATATCTATGCCCTACTACTACTACAACTACCACCACGATCACGACTCACCTGTATCCTTCTTATTCCTTCTACCAGGAGAGTTCCTACTACCACTTCTATTATTATCATCATCAGTGTACCCTCCTATAAGTGATGGAGGCAGTAGTCCATGATGAGGAGGCTTAGTAGACTGAGTACGATTGTTGAGTACGATAGTAGTATTAGTAGGATGGGATGTAGGAGGGCTGTTATGCTGTATATAGGTATTGTTGTAGGTCGTCTTCGACATGTAATCCGATTGTTGATCTACTATTCCATCTTGCTCATTCTTATGTTCTTGTAGATGATGATTTCCTTGTTCTCTATCCAATAGAAATGTAAATACTCTTGATACACTAATAACATCTATGATGATTACTATTATCGACAATACCAAAAGATATATAATATAGCTATCACATAAATGATAATAATTAGACCATGGTGGAGGTGGTATAAAAGTATTAGATGATATGATGATGATACAGAATAGTAGTAGTACAAGTATGAGGAATAAGGTATGAGATATCAGTATACAAGTAGCAAACTTGTGTAAGAGTACTAAACTCTTAGGAGTGAATACACAACTACTCTCACTAGTAGGACGACGACCAATTTGTATACTACTACTAGTAGTAGTAGGATATCTTCGTATTATGATATACATACGATATATACTTATAAGTATGGTAATAATAGTCCATGGTATGAATATAGCAATAATGAGTATCCAATATTTAGAGGACTCATTATAGTAAAGACTACTGAATGCAATAAGCATGTTGATACTACTGATGCTGCTAGGAGTAGTATTATCATCAGTGTATTCATGTGTATTAATATCCATCATATATATCTCAAATAGAGGTTGTGGTGTGATAACAAGTCTTGTAAGAGCAGCTATTCTTAATATACCATCCTTATTGGTAGCATCACAAAGGTGATATCGATGTACGAGTGATACGTCATCGTCATCATCATAATCATTGGTATCCATGTCCATGTTCAATAAACGTATTGGTATTGGTCTAATACTAGTTGATGATGATGATTGAGAATCATCATCATTAGTATCGTTGTCGTTGTCGTATTGTATGTATAGTTGATAGAATAATGGTGATGTACATCTTATATCATCTCTCAACATCATACTATTAATACGACATAGTCGTGTCTAAAAGTTATATATTTATTATTATATATAGTAGTACTCTTACATGTGTTATTCCAAATACTAAGGGTGATGGCCAATTATTGGTATCATCACATAACGTGAGGACATTACCATTCATGATGATATCACTACTACTACCACCATAATCAAGTGTATCCAATCCTAACCATGTACCTAATAATCATATACTTCATTATTATTATTACTATATTAGCATAATACCATTGATATGATATGTTGCTACCAATAACTTCACTCTATCCCCCACTTTGATAGTATACAATTCTTCTTCTTGTTGTTGTCTGCTGCTATCGCTCATCGATTTGTTATCAATGAATAAGGATGGTAAGTCTAAAGATACGACATGATCCATATACAATAAGAATAAGCAGAATAGTCTTACCTATTCCCCCATTACTGTCTTGTAACAATGATAGGAAATAATTACAAATTGGGGATGTTGTGGTATAGAGATTCATTACACATAGATTAGCCAGACAATTACATGCTTCTTGTTGTTGTCGATGATGGTGTAGTTGACTACATCTTACTGCACATGTTGGGAAATATGATGTTATGACATCATGATTGGAGGAATAGATGGTATCAACCATAGTACGCATATTAGTGATGAAGGAATTGATATCAGAATCTATGAGGACAAGAGTAGTAGTATTACTATCTATTATACTCACTATCCTTAAAGACCTTAATGTATCTCTCATACTGTTGTATATTCTTCTTCTTGTTGTTATGGTTTGTGTATATGAGATTCCTGTATTCCATTGTTGTTAATGATTGTTGAGTATTCTTTTCCACTTCTAACCACATATCCATAGGAACACATGCTGATATACTATTTGGTCTCCATAAACTAAATTCAGTACATCAACAACTACTAATAGTGTTGTTATTATTATTACCCCTCTTGACAATCACATTGAGGATGTTCTATAAAGCCTTGTTCCCATGATACTTGACCACATATATGACATGATGATTCATGATGTAATGCAATAATGGTATTATCATTGCCAGTACTCTTACTACTACAATCATAGCATGAATATGCTGTAGTCCCATTTATAGTAATGGTTAGTAGTAGTGATGATGATGATGATGATGATGACTGTAGACTATTGTTGTTTATACATCTAAGTAGTAAGATTTATAGTTTTTGTTAGGATTGTTATATATATTACCTGCATTCCCCATCATACCCTATAGTAACACCATGATGAGGTGAACATGTATAACAAGCTGTTCTATGAGGATTAGGTGCCATACCATGTGGACACTTTATACAAGGTGATGATGATGATGTACAAGGCATCACGCATCTGTTATTGCATAGTAATAATAACAAGCGGAAAACGCCATGATGATGATTATGATGATACTACCTAATATGGGACGTTGGGCATATACATGGTGGAGATTGTGATAAGGTATTATGTATTAATGGAGATTGGCATGATACACACTGTAGAGTAGTAGTATCAAAACCTTCTCCTTTGCTTGCACAACTATTTGGATGATACTCCAACAACATGGCCATAGTCATCATAGTATCATCATTAGTAATAAATGTATATCGTGTTATTATCCATATTAATAATATCATCATCACATTCTTGGGCACCACGCCGAGTAGCATAATGCTTATGATAATACTACTACTACTGATGATCATCATCATCATTATCATAAGCAGCACTATACCAATATTGAGCAAACATAAGACCATGAGTATTGCTTATAACAACAAGATAATAGTGACATTATTAGGCATGTTGTTGTTGTCCTTGTTGGTGGTTGTTCTTGTTGTTGTTGTTGTTGTTGTTGTTTATATAAGATGTAAGGATTACCATAGCTTTATCTCGTATCCTACTGTTAGATGGTGAATTACGATCAATCACTATATTCAATGCTTTCATCATCATGTCATCATCATCATTGATATAATGGTATTCATCTTGCTGCCTAGATACCAACAACCTTTCTAATGTATCCAATAATACTCTTCTTCTCTTCGTATCATCATTACCCTAAACTCCTTATCTCATTATCGTTACCTCAGCAGCAGCCATGTGTACTCACTCTATATCCCTTTGCATCATCATCATTATTATTATATGCTGTTGTTGTTGTTATTATCCTCTCTTTAAGCTCAATAGATACTCTTCTTATCTCCTCTTTATGTATGGTTAAATCATGGATCCTATTACATAGTCTATGCCATACCTATCATACTATTCCCAGTAGTATAGTATTATTGTTATTAATACCTCTTCAAGACTGCCTCCACCAGGTGATGATGATGATGATAAGTGATCAGTGATATCTGGTGTTGTATAGGGTGGGGTAGGGGTCATGTTGATGAAGGTATAATACTAATAACATGGAGGTTCGTGTTAATGAAATACCCCACTACTACTACTATGACCGACGATGACGAGGACGGCGATTGGAATAATAGGAATTATACCATTTATAGAAGAAGCATCATCATTCATATTGTTTTCTTGATAGCTTACACAGTGTTATTATTATGCTAGGCTTTATCTAACACATCATGGCGCTGCTGCTAATGCTGCTAATGCTGCTAATGTCATCATTGTAACACAACTACTGGCATAATAATGATATTCCCATATCATCATTATCCTCCAATAGTTTAGTAGTAGGTTAATGGTGCTTATCTAGGTTGATGATGATGATACTATCACCATATATACTATTACCAGTATCTACTTATACTGCTGCACTATGTTATAGTAGGAGTGCTATTCATCATCATCTACTACTAATACCACACCTCTTCCTACTCCTTCTTCTATTACTACTCTGCTTGGCTCTGTCCCTACTAGGGATCACTACTTAGAGTAACATCATCATCTGATTATTCCTATAGTTGGCTCTCTCTTCATCTTGCACTACCATCTAGTAATAATGATGATAAGAAGACTAGTATATTGATAGTAGATATGTGTGATGATAAGGGACACATTAGCATCATCCTTTCTCCCTCTTGCCACCACTATGTTGTTAATGTATACCTTGAACTCACATTAATACAACTATCATAATCAGTAATTGGTTATTATAATGATGATGTGAATAGCCCCCTTAATGATGACTGGTATCCCTCTCTGTTATATGTCCTATTGTGTTCAAGAAGAAGATTATTCAATTAATTGTGGCGAGCGAGATTGATGGCTGCTGCAACTGGGGTGATACAGGTTTCGCCAACCCGGATTTCGCCAAAATGACACCTAACGGGTTTCAAGACTCTTGGACATGTTTGTTAGGCAATATAAGGGCAGGGACAGATTCGAACAATTTGGCGAAATACCAGGCATAGCGACAAATTTCGCCACATAGTTGTTGCGACATACGGGTTTTACCAAAGTTGGTCAAGTCTGGAATACGCAGGGTTTTGCCAAGTTCCTTGTTGGCGTAAGACGGTGCTGAACCCTGTTTCGCCAATCCTTACACCGTACAGGTTTCGCCAATCCCAGGTCGTTAAAGCATGTCAGACGAAGAAAGGTCCTCGATCGGCTGTGATGATGACACTGTGTCATTGACACACCAACTTTTTTGTAAGTATTATGGTGGAGTGGTTAGAGGTCCGCGCGATAGATCGGAAGGTCGGGCGTTCTATGCTCGGAGCCTCCGAGTCGGAGAGTATTTAATCACTCGAATCCATCAAAAACATTCTAGAATACTCTGACTCGGCCGCCTTGGACGATACCGAACCGATGTCATCGATCAATAGGACCAGCGCAAATCAATAGTATGGTAGATTTAGAAGCAGTATTCATTATGAGCGGGCTTCAAGACCTCGTGACTAACCCGATGGGCGGTGTCACAGTCTATAGGTTCTGTAGCACTGATTATTACGCTGACCTTTTGGCTAACCTTAGGGGTAATATGATAGATTTGATAGCAGCAATGCTTAATCACGGAACGCTGTCGCGAGGTAAGGGACTGATATGGAAGTTTCTGTGCTTTCTGTAAACTGCTTGCCTAGTCAGATACAACAGTGACAAGATGACAGCAACGACGAGTTTCTTTGATCGTTTCCGAATGGATTGTTTGTTGTGTTGCGTAGTGAGGGAAGTCATGAAGTTCACGACGTGAAAGGAGATAGAGAGTGCGGTAACTTCGCGAGCCGTATTCTCGAACAGTCGTGACATGAGCTCATGCTAGTGCTCGAGCCCTTAACCCGCATTATAATGAGAAAAAATCTCATGATATACGCACTAGTAGACAAACCTCCGCAGAACACATGTACGCGTAACAGTTTGATGCCTTACTTGAGCGCGCAACGTATGAGCATACGTAGTTAAATTTTCGGCGAAGAAGTGCCTCCTCTCATCCTCGACCCCGGGACGACCCCTCAAGAGCTGACTCAGTCACGCTGCTCGGCTAACTAACCTAGCAACCTGCTTGTAAAGTATATCAGGTAAGATTCTTACCGTAAGAGAAGTGCCCGGGGAGCGCAAGCCGAGGAGCAGAGTGAAACTGACAAGCCTCCGCAGTACTTTACAGCATGCAGGTTTCAAGGGCCAAAGTTGGCACTATCAGTGTGAGTAACAGATTTGAGCACCTCAATTGGCGATATCTGTAATATATACCGTATTCGAGCGCCTCAGCATATATCTAGCGGCATATCGCCAACTCTCGGTGAAATCCGCATTTCACCGGTATTACGCCAAAGATTAGGCAAAACACGTCATAGTCTTGACGAAACCTGCGAGTTTCACCAAATTTTTGGCGATTCCCCGGCCTAACGCAGATTCTAGCTACCCAAGGTTGGCAAAACCTGCATCCAAGCGCAGAATAGATCACTTCGGCGAGCGGACTTGGCGGACGGTTCCGTGCAGATTTCAGCGGATGCGCTGAATTCTGTACGGCGAGCCGACCAGCTTGGTGAAATCCCGTAAAATCCTGGTCGTATCACGCATATCGCCAAGTTGCTTAAATTCCCTAGAAACAATAAATCACCAAAGTTGGTGAGTTGGCGAAACCTGGTGCTCCGTGCAACTGCCCCAACGACACCTGGAGGATGGTTGTGTCTATTTATCATCATGCAGTTAGTATGAACACGTAAGTAGCTGCATATGTGTTATCATCATCATCTTCTTGATGTTGTTGTGTTATTATTAATAATGTGTAGTAGACTTATATTTAGACCATAACTGTCCTCCTCTTCAATGGTAATATGATCTTTATTCCATCATCATTACATCATCATTATTATTTCAGTCAGAAGTAGAGGAGACTCTGAATCGTATTAAGACCCATAAAGGAGTATCAGGTATTGTTATAGTTAACCATGAGGGTGTAATACTATCGTATCACCACTGCTGCTGCTGCTGCTGCTCTTCATCATACTACTACCACTTGTCCCTTTATAATGTTATTATTATCATCATTATTTAGGTACCAATACGGTCTACTCTAGAACAGAAGTACACTTTGCAATATTCTGCATTGATAAGTCAGCTCACACAGAAAGTGAGTAGTACTACAGTCCTATTGATCCTCCTCCTCCTCGTCGTAATATCTTAATCAGGCAAAATCAATGATACGTGATCTAGATCCTCAGAATGATCTAACCTTTTTAAGACTACGTTCAAGGAAACATGAGATTATGGTGGCTCCTGATAAGGATTATATACTTATTGTTATCCAGGTGGTAATCCTCCTCCTCCTCCTTATCATCATTATTATCAATATTATTATCAGGATCCTAACGCTGACATCATGATTCAACAACAGAATCATAATGATTAATGATTCCCTTCATAATTGTCATAATTACACATTATCGTCTTGTGTTAAAAGTCAATAATTCGTATGATAACATCGTTGGAATATTAAGAGTTGATTACTATTATTAGAATATTCCCCTCTACTACTAGATAACACAACAATAGTTAACTTGTTATTAAACTTTACATATATCATCTGGACGTAATATAACTTCCTTATCAGTCTTATCTCCTTCTTCTCCTACTAATATTATAGTACACGACCCAGTAGTAGGATCCACACTTTTCAATACACCAAATTGATATCTGAGACGACCAACATAACAATAATAACAATATACTAATCCTTATTCCTCATATAGTATTACTTGTATTGACCTAAGACTACTTGTATAGTACGACCATTAGCAGGTGTAACAGTCTGTAGATCTGTTTGATCCAATTCTAATATATCACCACTTTTTAGTATTTTAACATGGCATACATATGGTGATAATACTTTCCTTATTTCACCTTTACTTTTATAATATTTACCATTACATAGATCTTTGTTGAGTACCTACATCACTATTATCGTAGCCGCAGCCGCCACAGACATGTAAGAATAACATATCTCAACTACTATTACTTTAACAATGAGACCCTTCATAAGCCATGCATCAGATGGTATATCTTCTTCTTCTTCTTTCTTCATAATCTCAGTGTTACTATCTATCTTACGTTGCCTCTTTACCATTGGTTGGGCCCTAATAATACGTAACTATATCACTCCTAGTAGTATCATATACCGGCTATACTTCTCCTTCTCCGCATCATCATCATGATCACTAATCATAATCATATCATTATCATCATCATCCTCCATCTTCATCCATAGTTCAGCCTCATCTTTGGCTGCCTTAACTGCAGCTGCCTCTTCTAATACATTGACTTCTATCATAAATGATATCAACAGCAACAACAACAACAACTCCATACGTAATATGCTACTACTACTACTTGGTGTAATGTTTGAAGACATCTTTCCACTACTCCTCTTAGCGTTAATAAGATTGGTAACCGCTAATTGTATCTTATCATTCTCATCTTTTCTATCAACAGTAGTTGCTTCAACTTCTGTTATATCATCCTCTCCCGCCGATGCTGAATATTATTATTATAAAAGTATTAATCATTTACCTTTACCCTTAGCCATGCGAACTTGTTTTGCTATACGCCTTTCTTCTTGCTTTTCCTCACATGCTTCCTGCTTCTTATCAGCTTCATATTTAGCTTCCCGTTCAATCCTCTCCCTAATAAATAATCTTCACCACCATACCACACCATCCTCATCATTATTATTATTACCTGTCTATATACTCTAGATACCATCCTCTTTCAGTCTTCTCTATCTTAGCCTTTCCTGTTCTACCCAAATATAATACAAAACCAGTTAAAGTACACCAAGCTGTAGAGTTCATATGTACATGTTGTTTATCTACAAGTATAATAGTATAATACTCTCATAATCATTATAATAATACCTGATATTAGATCCTGATACACTTGGTTAGCCAAGACCCTTGTTGATCTGTAACGTGTTGAGAATATACGCCTGAGTATCAAGAATAATAAGGATTATTATTATTACTATAATATTATTATTACATGAATGTTGATTCGAATTCACGTGAGAAATCATTCATATATTTACCAGGTCTCTGTATAAATAACTGCATCTGTCTTAAATGTTGTTCTGAAGTCCTGATAAATGGTCATGACTACTTTAACATATATCAACAACATTATTATCATTACTACCTATGAAAAAAATATAAACCCATTCTCATCACGACATAGCTCGTCTGATTTGACAATACCATTTTAGTGCTTGTAACCCCTTTCCAACAGGAATTCTCAAGCATTTTGGGGGAACTTCTCTGCTCTTCCTTTACCCATTATTATTATACTACTACTAGTAGTAGGAAACAAGAATAACTAAAGAGAGACGTCATCATCATCATCATTATAATCATCATCATCATCATCATCATCATTATAATCATCATCATGTTATCCCACCACGTCGTTATTCTTCATATTATTAATTTTGTGGCGCGTGACACCGCCGTCGCCACCGTCGCTGGTTGTAATCCTTCACAACACAATCGATCAAATGCAATGGTGATGATGATTATTATTATAGTAGTAGTAGTAGTAGAATATGTCATCATCTACATGGTCTACATCCTATACCTCACAACAACGTGCTGTAAATAGGAATTGTAGTGTATTCGTTGGTAATATACCTTATGAGGCATCAGAGGTAATAGTAGTAATAGTAATAATAATAATTATTATTATGATAGGAAGAATTAAGGGAGATATTTAGTAGAGTTGGACCAGTTATATCATTTCGATTGATGAAGGATAAGGAGACTGGTATGCCTAAGGGTTATGGTTTCTGCGAGTAATAATAATAATACTAGTAGTATGTTGATAATAATAATAGATATCGAGATATGGAGACTGCATATAGTGCTATGAGGAATCTATCTAATGCTGATTATGGTGGTAGACCATTAAGGGTAGATTGGGCTGATCATGAACTAAGGAATTCCGAAGCAGTTACTAAAGTAATAATAATTAAAGAGTCTTCTTCTTATTATTGTTCATAATAGTAATAGTAGTAGTAGGTATTAAGGACATCTAATGCAGAGGTATCTGAGAGAACTGAGAAGATTGTTAAAGATAGGTTACAGGTAATAATAATTAATATGATAATAATGTGATTAATATGATTAATAAGTACTACTCATATTAATAAGTATAATAAGATAATAATCATCATCATCATCATAATTATTATTATTATCAGGAGTTTAGAGGTAAAATAACAGATGAGACAATTGAATTGGCAGTAAGTGATATGCAACCTTTTAGAGAGATATCAACATTAATTGATGTAATAATGCACATAATAGTACATTACCTATTAGTATTATTATTATTGTAGATATTATCAAGTGAACAGTTAGTACATATACTCGCGGAGATGCAAAGATTATCATTAACAGATCCAGATACTACAAGAGCATTATTATCAACACAACCACAACTTAGAGTAGCTATTGCATTTGCATTAGTAATAATAATAATAATTATGAAGTGGTAATGTTAATGTTAATGTGTGAGGTACGAATAAACGTAATAGCGGATCCTTTTCGTAAATCCTCTACTAGTCTTATTCGATCTACTACTAACACTACAATGAATGATGAGGGTAGTAGTCTGAAGAGACAGAGTAATACTATCAACTGCTGCTGTTGCTGCTGTTGCTGCACTCTTATTATGTATTAATAATAATAATGGATGCCACTACTTAGAGTTATCTACACCTCAACAACAACAACAACAACAACCACCATGGGCTAGGATGCATCATCATCATCAACACCAACAACAACATGATGATGATAGTAGTAGTAGTAATGAGTTATTTCGATGTGGATGTGTATTATCAGGTATGGAGGGTCATAATAATAATAATCATAATCATATGAATGATAATGAGACATATGATGTAATAATTGATATTATTATTATTATGACAACATAATAATAAGAGTATGATTATTGTTGTTGATATTAGGTAACCCAACTAACTAACGAGGAGAAGATGAGAGTTATTCAACAATTCTCATCATTATCAACAGATGAGATATCCGAATTACCATCTGAAGTTAGGGAATCTATGGAAACTTTAGTGCGAGAATGGGTAGCAACAACAACAACAACAACAACTGAACAGGATCAACAACAACAACAACAACAACAACAACAACAACAACAACAACAACAACAACAACAAGAGGATTATGATAAGTAACCATTACAATGCAATATTTTCTATTCTGACATCATGCTACTGTAGTGTTAATATGGTAGAGCAATGGTAATGGCAATGGTGGATGATATAGTCTGGTTAGGGAATGTGAGTATAAGTCCGATATCACTACTGCTACTACTACTACTACTACAAGTATGTAGTGTAATACTGATATCCTGGATAGATAAGAATGAGTATACCTAATGCTCAACATCGAACTAAGTAGATATCATTGATGGGAATATAGAGGGAGTTTACTTATTGTATACGTAGCAGGTATTAAGTAGTAGTAGTATGTATAAGTAGCATTAATTGTTATAACCAATTATCTTTCAATGAGTGTGTAATCGGCTATTAGAGAGGATAACTAGATGGTAACGATTGTACCGGATTAGATTAAGAGCCATTGATTAACATCATTTACTGATGATACTCATAAGCTTATAGTATACTACTACTCTCATATAACTTAGTCTCACAAAACATATACAAATGCACAATTTGGTTCCGTTATAATAATATCATGGAGTATAATATTTGTCAGTATTCTTATTATCTTGAATATTATAATGGTCATCTTGCTGTTCATTCGTAATTACAGGGGGCGTATGGTATTACGAAGAAAAACATCATCATTATCCTTATATACCTCATCATCATCATCATCATTATCATCAATTATTAATAACTCATCGTCATATCCGATCATCCAATCAAAGAGGAGTATCAGTATACCATCACCATCATCTTATCGTGGTAGATCTGGCTACATATCCAATATATGCTATATTCTACCTATTAGATGGTATCACACCTACTGGTGTCCATACAGGATTATATCATTTCTCCTTATCCTACTATCTATCTCATCAACAACAACAGCAACACGTACTCATCATACTTTACTATTATATACTTCTATAGGATACTGTGATGATTATGGTGATTATAGTATGGAAAGGGAGGAGGAGGAGGGTCGTCATCACCAGGGCTTAGGATATTATGATCATGCTCATCATGTTGATGATGATGATGTTTTGAAGGATGTACCCATTGCAAGGGAAGATCTGATACGTGATCATCATCATCATCATCATATTACTAATAGTCCTGATGATGATTATGATGATTATGATCACTTTGATAAGGATTATGAAATAAATAATATGATTGGTGAAGGTGGTTTTGGTGTGGTATATCGATGTACACATAGAAGGACTGGTATAGAGAGAGCAGTTAAGATTATTAATGCTGATGATATTAAAGATATGAGATTATTCCAAAATGAATTGGATGCTCTTCTTGATCTAGATTCCCCTTATATTGTCAGATTACTTGAATACTATTATTGCGATGATTATGATAATAATGATGGTGACTATTATCATGATAATAATGAGATCATCAACAACAACAGCAGTGGTGGTGGTGGGAAGTGTATGAAATTGGTATTCTCATTATGTCGTGGACCAGATTTATTAGATCGTATACGAGATGAAGTAGGCCAGAAAGGTAGAGTTGATGAAGAGGATGCAGTTGTATTCTTACGTCATATGTTAAAGGCTGTTGCATGCTGTCATAAATCTGGTATTATACATTGGGATATAAAACCCGAGAATTTTATATTTACTAATCCCTCTAAAACAGCTACATTAAAGATGATAGATATGGGATTATCACGACGCCATCTCACGACGACGCACATAGCAGCTTCTCATAATAATGATGATATACGGAGGCCCAATAAGGAGGAGAAGGCTACTGCTACTACTAGTAGTATCATAGCAGCAGGTACCTTACGATATATGCCACCTGAAGCGATAAGACAACAACAACATGTTGATGATGATGAGCAGCATACTATACTATCATTATCATCATCATCTTATATAGAAGATCCACGTAAAGTTGATATATGGGCTATTGGTGTTATATTTGCTATGTTATTATCTGGTATACCTTTATTTAGTTTGACTGATGATGAAGATGTTGTTATAAAGGATATATTAAATCCTGATTATGTTATTGATCGTATATCTAAATCAGATGAATATACTCATATATCTGATGATGCTTATGATATGTTATGTCATTTATTAGCATATAATCCTGATGATAGATATGATGCTAGTGAAGCATTAAATCATCCACTTATCACACAATCATATCAGAGAGATGCAAATAATATTAAATTAAATAATAATATACATGAAGTATTTGATTTTAATATTATTAATCGTATGAGACATTCAATAACATTACCACCATTAGCTAGAATATGTCGATTACTTATTGCTCATCAATGTCGTGATCGTGAAATAAGACGTTTAAGAGATACATTTAGACGTTTAGATATTGATGGTGATGGTTATTTAGATAAACAAGAAATAATAAGTGTTTGCGATTATTATGGTATTCAAATACCTCCTGATTTTGATCATATATTTCATGCATGTGATCTTCAACGTAATAATAAATTAAATTTTCTAGAGTTTGTTGCTGCAACTCTTGATGATAATTTAACTGATATCAATGATGATAAGGGTAGGACATTCCTTGAATATACCTTCCAGCAACTATTGGATGATAATAATAATAATAATAATAATAATCCTACTATCCTACTATCCGATAATAATAATGACCATGATTATGATGATAAGAAGAAGAAGAATGAAAATGTTATCGATGATTGTAAATTAAAACAATTCTTTCGTAAGAGTAATCTCAGCGACGAAATGGCACGATTACTCATAAAGAGTTGTCATCACCGTCGTGATCAACATACATACTCTGATGATGATAATAATTATGATGATGTGAATACTTTAAACTTTCACCAATTTGCTAAATGTTTTACCGTACCATAATCATGGAAATATCTATCTTACAGTTATGTATAGTTATTGTTATCATTATTACATCATTCGATCCTTGTAATAGTAGTAAAAGAGTTGGGTTTGTAAATATTATTAGTCACTAATGCTGATAACCCGAACTATAACTAAACAATATGATTGGGTAAGAGGATGATAGTATTATGAGTTAAGTATAGATTTGATAATCCATTGACGTAATGCAAGTAGATGCAATTGGTCATCATCATCTTCTAATGTTGTTCTAGTCGCATCCCCATCTGATGATGATGATAGAGCTAAGAAGTGAATCAAACGATCCTTCCTTTCTGATCCAATTATAATAAACCGCTCTTGCTGTATCAACATACCCATACACTTCAAATGTACATCTATACAATCATTGAAATGTGGTACACCAGGATAATTGAGAGATAATGTTCTACTATCATCATCATCATCATCATCATCATCATCATCATCATTATCATCATCATCATTATCATTGTCATTATCATTGCCATTATTATTACGCATATTTTCACGTATGAATGAGTCGACAAGTCCATTGGATATAACTTTAAGTAACTCTTCAATGTTGTTAACCATTCTTCCATCACGGTTTATAACACTATCTGATAACGGTATCTACGATTATATAACATACTACTACTACTACTAACACTCACCTAGGACTATTACTGTTACTACCTTATCCATTCGTAATATAAAGCCAGCAGCAGCAGTATACGATTGTGCTTTGGTTAATAAGATTACCCACCTCAACATAGTATCGCATATCTTCTTACCAGTTGTACGAGTCATGACTATTGTTCTATTACTACTATCATCATAAGTTGGCTTGATGATATGATACGATAGTGTTCGATTATAATCTTCCCTTTTATCGAGTACCTTAATCGATGATAGTACATTATCTATAAGTAACAAGTCAATACTACATTATCATAATCCTTTAATTCATTTTTAATGGATGGTATGGTATCAGGTAGGAAGACCTCGTTACTGATACATGCTTTAGCCAATAACATATTGGCATTATCCCTACTACTATCTCGTAGATTACCATCCCTTCTTCTTCTTCTTGTTGCTATGTTTAATAAAGCCATAATACATTTGGTGCTAGTAGCCCAATCTGATACTGCTAACTGGTAATAACATGGATAAAGGTATGGTATTAGTGTATTCCATACATCATCATCATTATCATTAATCATACTTATTATTATTGTAGCAATATCAGTAGCATATTGGCATGGTTCCAGCAACATATAAGCAGATAAAGCAGCAGCATAATACTGCTTCGTTGCCATAGTTGATGATTCCCTATTATTATTAACAATGGTAGTAATCTCTTGATTATCATCCCTAGTATAATCAATAATCACTGACATTATCTTCTGTAATAAGTTATGTATATCATGAGTTACTAATAATTCGGTATCATCATAGACCATTTCATAACAAATGTTGATGAAAAGAGATAGAACTGATTGTACCAGTGTAATGTATCGACAATCACAGGAATCATCATCAACAACAACATCGTCGTCGTCATGTAAGGATTCATGTTTAATAATCATCTGAAAGGACATCCAGGATTATAATCTCATTAATTATTTTACCATAATTTCACAACCTTTCGGTAATACTACCTCTTCCTGCGCCCGACTTAACTGAACGTAGGATGATGTTAGAGCAACTACGGTCAACTTCTGTAATGATAATGTCCATTCCGAATCATCATTTCTTTTACACTTCATATAATGACAACTAAGATGGTTACTGATAAGAGTGTTGATAGACACTATTACATTGATATTTTGGACAGGTCGAGTAACATCGTGACGGTGGTAACATCGTTTGGGGATATTTTCTTGAATCCAAGTCTTATCCAATTCATCATTCTAGCAGGATTAGATGATGATAGATTAAATTGTGGATCCATTAATATAAGTTGTAATACCTAAACCCGAGTAATAAGACATCGATGATGATGATGATGCTAGAAGCATTAAATAATAATATACCCAGGATACTTAGAAACCCGTCCACCATCAATATTACACCTGCAAATCCTATTTCCTCTTCCATAGCTTCAATGAGTATTATACTCGAACCACTATCATCCTCATCCAGTTGAGTACAATGGACGATTTTCTCATCATTATGAGGGTTCATGGTAGGACAAATAGCTGAGAATGACAGTGTACAGAGCTGGAAGATGAATCTTCATATGGGACAGCGAGTCCAGGATAGATCCGGATCAGCAGACCTCCCGATCGTAGTGGGCATCTTTGGTGGCCAATCCTTGGCCGATTCACGTTCTTGGTCAGAATCCAACTCTGACTCGATTATACCGCTCATAATTCAACAGGATTGTGTTTAAGGGCCAGACTTGCTGTGCGTTGATTGCCAATAAAATAAGGGAAGAGTAAGTGAGTGTAAGAGTGTTGGCTACTCGTTTGGGCGAGTACACTCCCCCTCCAAAAAAGGATCGTAGGGCGATCCAAAACTGCTGATGCGGCCAGTTGGATCTAATGATACCTTTGGACCTGTGTAGCACACGTCAGAGTAAGATATATGGACGAAGTTGTCGGTTGTATCATACAACCAGATACCATCGGCATCCATTTCCGACAGTCGACGGATTTTTAGTTGCTTATTGTCGATGTTGTTGTGTTGTATTCTACCGAGGTCAAAAGAGATTATCCTGGCGACTCACAGGACTTGGCTAAGAGGTCGTCTAGCTCGGGGATGCCTAACGTGCCGTACGCCTTGATGATGTCGTCGTTAGGAGCATGGAAAAGTTGCCATAGAGGTACGGGGTTGGGGAGTACTTCACCGCGTATAGATAAGATGGCCATAGAAGAGTCTCCGCATCGTAGCTCATGAACTGTGTAGGGAGCCAGGATGCGGCGTTTTCCTAGACCGTCTACTATGATTCGGAACACTCTCTCACCTTGTACCACGGACGGCTCTCGGCGGTAATTATCAGAGGGATTGAGAGCGCGTCCTTCCGAGAGTATACTCTTCCAGGCGGCATTCAATGAAGTAACTTCATCTTGCAATTGTCTCAAGTATGAGGCTGAATCACCATCATGTACAGAGCTTCGAGGGCAGTCTGCCTCCAGCAAGGCCTGTAATGCATCACGACTCCTGCCGCCGTATTAAAGGTCTTCTGGAGTTATGTCTTCATCACCGTAGGATCTAGGCGCTGTATTGTGGAACCGGCAGATCCATTGGAGGTTTTGCAACGCAAGTTGCATAGGCCCGTGAGCACATAGTTTCCTTAGAGATGACTTGACGAGGGAGACAGCCTTCTCAGCTTGTCCTTGTGGTGTAGGATGATAACCGCCACTGGGAACGGAGTCTATAGAGAAGGCCTGGCTCACGAGTTTCTTGAGCTCGGCTGTGAATGCCAGACCTCTATCAGAAAGCAGATAAAGGGGGCTACCAAAGCGCAGGGACCATTCGGTTACGGACTTCGCAGCTGCTCGAGCGGTGGGACCTTCGACTAGACGGAGTTCTAACCAAGTAGTGAAGGAGTCGATGAGTATGATGATGTGTGGTGACTTGATACCATCGACTGTGATGTCGGAAAAAGGTCCACAGAAGTCTATAACCAAGGTGTCAAACCTCTTAGAAAGTTGGTGTGACCTCTGACCACCTAGCGGTACCAGGCGTAGTAGTTCTCGTCGACAAGAGAAACAGTTCTGATATAACTTGTTGATGTCACTCTTCATTTTTGGCCACCAACACTGCTCGCGGAGTCTGTTTTCATATCCTGCAACGGGCAGTGAGGCCAATGTGCCTTGAGGAGTAGCTTCCACCTCAGTGTCGAGTGGCGCTCGACGATAGGCTCGTGCGGCACGTATAGACGATGAGTACCATTAATGTCAACGAAGTAAACGTTACCGAGATCGCTGACAGAGAATAAGAGTGTTTTGACCTCCTTCTCAGTGTTGTCGTCTTGCGAATTGACTAGACGCCGGAGCTCGATGCCGCGCCAGGCTGTGGCATCGTGTCAAAGAGCGTTGGAACATTGCTCGAGGAAGTTGTGGTCGTAGAGGGGTCCATGTAGAGAGCTGTGGCTATGCAATGGATCAGTGGAACCAACGAGGACAAAGACATTGCCGTTTTGAGGCGGCCCTGTGGGTAGATCCAGCGAACCTGGTAGTCTAGACAAGAAATTAGCCCGAGTGTTGCTGTTACCAGCAAGATGGGTGATCGAAACAGTTATGTTACGGCCGCGCAAAAGCCGTTCTATGTCCGTGAATTGCTGAGTGGGCCTTTGCAACGCCAGTTTGTCATAACTACCGAGCCAAGGCTGTTTGGATCGACACCAGCTAACAGCACTGCTGTTGTCGGATAGGATAAATGATCTGATCGGCTACCAAGCCAATCTCCACTAGCCTTAACAAATGCTTTGCCGCGTCGACTATAGCAAACATTTCTAGTCGGTTGCAGTGCCATTTCAAAGCGTTTGAAGAGCGTCTGGACTTTTCCACAACCGGTATATGGGTAGGGTTTGCAGTAGAGCATGATGTCGCCATCACCGACCAACCGTAGCCAGTAGCAGATGCGTCGCTGGTGACAATTATGTGCTTGTAGCCGGCCCAACTCTGATGCTTGCATTGAGTAGAGAGCTCTTTTATATTGCTCAGTAGTCGCTTGAGCATTTCCCTATCTCTCCTATTAATGCGGAGCTCAGAATCACAGGAGGCTTTATCAGTGGCATGACCGAATCGGCCAGACCATGACCGAATAGAATCCACTAGCAGATCTCTTTCTGGATGCAGTGATAGAGACTCTCTATTAGAGAGTCCGTGAACTTACCACAGTGGCTGAATAAACCTCGCTTCGTAACAGCACCATCCAACGCTGTATCGAGGCAATCGAGATCAGGGATAGCACAGGACGCTCTAAGGCGGTCAGCTTCAAAGAACCAGGAGAGGCCCAAGTGCGAAGTGGTAGTGGAAATGCTAGAAGTTAACCAAGAGGACTTTTCAGCTGAGAAAGTAATCCCTAGGCGTTCCCCTATGCGGTCAAGTAGGTTCCAAACCATTTGACGAGTCTCTCATCCTTAGAGGCTATCGCTATGTCATCGTAGTAGCAGAGAATGATAAGGTTCGGTAGATACTGGTATCTTTCTTCGGAAAGAAGCTGGTCAGGAGGAGGGTTTCCAGTGAGAGCCATATAGATACTGTCGGTCATGTAGTCGGTGAAAGACTGGAGGGCCTCCAGTGGAGGGCTAGAGGCCCAAACCTCACACCAAAGCTGATTCTCCTGCACCGATGCCGCTTGTTGCATGTCTTCAGAGTCAGCGTCCGGTGTTGTGGGAGGTGTAGTTTGTAGAGCGCTTTAGCAATGTCCCTAAAGGACAGAGTACTGACGTCAGCAGAAAGCAGAGCCTGTGCACATTCACTAAGTGAGAGGTTGTTATAACCCGCTTTAGGATAGCCTTGGTTGACTGACCTGCAGTCTGCACAGGGTCGCATCCTATGCCCCAGATGGTTTGGCTGACTCATGGGAAACACACATATATAGGACTCGTCGTGGGTGATGTCGTCTTCGTCTTCTAACCACCATTTATTGTCAACGTACCGTGAGACTTCCTCTCTGAAGCATGCCTGAGAGCTCTCATCGAGGCGCCTAAGCAAGGGAGTGGAGAAATCTTGGCTTTCATAGTATGTGGCATTGGCGGCGAGACATCATCGTCCCAATCTATCTCATAAACGTGTTTGGCCAGGGCAGTCCTCGTGATCACCGGGCTCCAAGGGCCTCACTCTCGTCTTGTAGGTGTTACCGTTAGGGATGTGTCGCCAGCCTCGTAGGCGTTCGAGTAAGTAGTTGAAGCTGCGATCTACCATGACGTCGATGTTGATGTCTAAGTCTGTAGCACTACCGGAGATTTTTGGTACTGGGATGCTGTACTTAATGAAGTCGTTTGTAGCAGGAGTCGTCGTGGCTGTCAACGAACCACCATTTTTCGAGCGGGTCCGCTCGATCAAGTGTGTTGTATCTTCGACAGGACATGTTGTCTCTGCCACCAGAGCTCCATCTTCCGGGTAGTTGTCGGTCAGGATGTCTGGTTCTTCAAAGACTCTTCTTGAGCTATATAGACTTGGGGATCGGGGCTCGTCGATCAAGTTGTTGTACTTATCGGCAAGTCCCTCACTCCATAGAAAATTGTTGCATAGCCTTTCAGTAGGTTTGCAACCGAACTACTCACAGAGTGACAACGTGCTGGTTTCTTCTGTTGTGTTGGCCTCCTGCTCGCTGTTCTGATATAGGCAGATGAGACGGTAGCCGAGATCTTGAAGAGCTGGTCGACCGATGAGAACCGAAAGATCGCTGGAGAGCCGGTTTTGCTCTGCAATGACATAGAACGGAACGATAATTAGGGGTCCTTTCGGACTCTTCATCTTAACCGAGACACACCGAGTCAGATCCACTCTCCCGCCGAGGCTGTTCACGTCGATCGCTGCTGCAACTTCAGTGAAGCCTGGTAATTTTTTTGAGAGCGCGTTATAAACTTCTGTTATAAGGTTAAGTGCAGAGGCTGTATCGAAGAGGGCGTCGAGAACAAGGAACTCGCAGGAAGGAGTACATATCTCGACAGAACCAATTTCAATAGCAGAACCAGTAGAAGAGATAGCATAGTTCGTCTCAGACGCCTTCATAGGAGGAGTCTTCGAGTCAGCATTTCCGGTATCTCTCTCTGTCGGTCTTGTCGCCGAGTCTAGTCTCTTCAGCTTGGGACAGTCTCGCTTGAAGTGACCTTTTTCTTTGCAGTACCGAGTCGGTACTACCGACAGAGTGATTCTTCAGGCGACGTAAAAGCTCCGGTATGTCCATATTGGCTTTTGGCCTGCGTAGTGTGGGGTCTGCTTAGGGTTGGAGCATCCGGAGACTCACCGGCCTTATTACTTCGATGTACGAATCTACATTTCTCGCCGTACTTTATTGATGCTTGACCAGTCCGTGCGGCAGAGAGCGTCACCCTTTTGTACATGCGTACAGACTTTCTCCTTGTGCTTGCGTACAAGTGTGAGCATAGGATACATTCCGTACTATTGATCTTGAGCATTGAGCTTTACTAGCTCCTATGTCCGTAGCCATCTTGGCTCAAGGTCTCAGTGTACGTTTGGGTCGCATCTCTCCAGCTAATGTCGGGACGTGTTGACACAAGGGAACGACAGGAGGCGCCGGACATCAACATAGTGGCGACAGCGGCAGGATCTCTAAGCCTTCCAAGTCTCAAGTCGTCCCGTACAACGGCGAGAGCTGCCAGAACACGCTTGGCCAACCGCCTAGCAGCCCAACGTCAAGTCATTCGAGATCGCGAGGCCGAGGGAGTCGGTGAGGAGGACCCTGAGCTACATGCACTCTTGGTTGAGGAGGAAGAGCTGAGCACCACTATGCCGACGCTTGTGCCAAGGTTACACTTGCTGAGCGAGCCTATGATGAGGCCTTGATGAAAGCCCGTAGTTTTGAACCATCGATTGCCGCCAGCCCGACAGGCGAGGAGGATGATTTTGCTGCTCCACTGGTCAATACCTCTAACCCGTCACCGTCTAGACCGAAGAATCCTAATGCAATCACGGCTAAGATCTTCCTACCAAAATTGAAGGATAAATTTCGGTTCCGAGAGATGAGATGGCCGGCATCATCTTTCATGAGGCGGGTCTTGGCACTCTCGATAATCAGGGAATCTTCACTGCCACCGTGCCAGAGACGATCTTGGTCACGAAGTATCTGCAGAGTCTCGAGAATGTGGTTGAAGTGTACGAGAGGGCGATGGACGTAGCGATCCAGACCAAGTATCGTTGGTGGGAGATGAGCGATATACTCAATCAGGTCTTCGGGGACCGGGTAGCAATGCGCACTGAGGTAGCCCGTCGTCTCTGAGAGCTGAGGTTTAAGGGTTATCAGTATGTTGACGACTTCATCCACCATGTTACTATTATCACTAACATGTGGATGGCGGTGTATTCATCCGGGTTCAGTGAGTCGCGTTACCTCGTTGCCAGTTCCCTCGCTAAACTAGCTTTTGACCTTCTTGAGGGAGCTGTCAACCGCATCCTGAGAGAGGTCCCGAAAGAAGGGGCGCCGATATGGGAGGATTACGTCCGGGTTCACAACACGGCTCCTGCCCCAAGGTTGTCACCAGCGGTTGACCTATGTCGAATGGTACGGTCGGTTTGTAAAGTTGCGGAGGTGATATATCACCTGCAACCTAAAGCGTCACCAGATCGAACTCGACAAGTGTCGGATAACCAAGGATCTCTACGGCGTGGACCTAGTAGGTCCGACCTACCATTACTGAGTGGGCATCTAACTTCCCGGGGGGATCGGTGGTATACTTCCGCACTGATAAGGCAATCTCCCCAGAGTCGATCCGCAAGACCTCCAGTGATCTCGGTGCTAAGGAAGTGCGGGCTCATGTCCATAAACGTGGGCACCGTTACGGGTTCGCTACCTTTGACAACAAGGCCGAGGCCTCGAAGCTGATCCACAACGGTGTTCCCGCGAGCTCCAAGGGGACGTCTCAGGGCTTGAAGATCCGAGCATTCGTCCCGGAGGGTAATCGTGGTAGGCTAGTTATGAAGTCGGGAAACTAATTGAGGCTCTATCTCCGAGAGGGGGTGATGGGGCCTGCGACACTACCAACGTTCACGGTGGACTTACTGATCCATGTGACTACGTTTATGTACCACTTAACTCTTCTTTGCATGTTGATAAAACTCCTCATACCGTTAATTTAAGTGCAAGCGGTAATACTTGCTTCGATTCGGGTACCAACCCTAATATCATTGACGATCCGTCACTCCTTTGTGCATGTGAGTATTCAATATCGTCATTAGATTCCGAAAACCGTGTACATTCCGATAGACCTTTACTGGGCGCTGTGTCTAATATTACTGTGACTCCCCCCACAGTTGGTCCACTTACTGAATCTGAAACTGATTGTGTGGAGTATGGCTCTTCAGGGCCACTACCGGAGATCGTATTATCCGGATCTTTCGATAATCATAGTGTACAACTCATTGTCGACTCTGGTGCTGGTTTCTCTTATATCTCTAGAGTAGATGGAGAATGTATGAAGCTCGCTCCTCGTGAAGCAAGCCCAGTTACCGTTAAGGTCGCTAATGGAGAACACGTCCAAGTGTCAGAGGTGCTCTGTGGACAGTTAGTTCTGAAGGACTCGAGTGGGGAAGTCGTATCTCCCCCGCAGTCGTGTGAGGTTCGTATTCTACCTATCCAGAGCAGTGTAGGCAGCTCACATGTACCTTCTATCCTCTTGGGGCGTGATCTGCAACGGTCCTTCCACCTTGTTATAGATGGTGGCCAAAGGATATTCTTGTTAGGCGTCTGCATATTCGATGCTCAGATGTCACGTACAGAACCAACGATATGTTCTTACGTTAACGATTATCTGCGATGCATCGAGCCCACGCCATTACCTGACCTTAGATCGACCCAACCATCAGTAGACTCGTTTGTCAACCTACCATGTCCGTCGAGTGCTGTTCGTCCTCTGAATGAGTTATGCAAAAGCCTATGTAATGTCGTCCCGTTCGGGCCCGATGACCGAGGGTATGCGACTGAGCTACGCAAGCTGCCGGAGGAGGAGACTCCGTTTCCTGTAGGACAACGCTACACATGGTCTATCTGCTGCCCATCGTTGAGCAAACCTCTACATATCCGGCATTACGCCCATCGTCTTCATGAGAAGCTCTGTCCCGAAGCGCGGGTGCTGAATGATGAGCTTATCGAGGGATATGTCAGTCGTGGCTTATGGAAGCCAACTGAGAATGTACCTTACGGCTATGCTGAAGGCGAAGTGTTTATGGTGGGAGGTCCGGATAATGGGGCAAAGACTCGAACAGCGAGCAAAGGCCGTCTCGTATGTGATTTGAGAGAAACCAATGAAAGCCTGCCGCCTTCGAGTACATGCACATTACCGATAGTTACTATGTTAGCAGCTCTTCGGGTAACATGTTCTCCTGTGGTCGTGACTGCAGATGTGCATAGTGCCTTCTATATGTTGCGTCTGTGCAGTTCTTTCAAACCTTCTCAGTCCGGATCAACCGATCCGCAGAATGGTGGTACCTATGACCATGAGAATTGTTTACCGGGATTTGCCTTGCACTGTGGCAACGGTAAACGATACCTAGCACATCGAGTATGCTTTGGATGCCTGTTTGGTCCGGAATCCCTCGAGTGTTCACTCGGACGACAAATCCAGTCATTCCGTACGTCAACGTTATGCGATATGGTGGCGAGTGGTATAGCACACTTTGTTGATGATCTGTTGTTACACTTCTCAATGGAAGATGCATGTAAGATTGTATTCTTGCTATCGATATTATCATCTTACCTATGCTTGTGTGGATTTGCAATCTCTGTGGCCCTCCCATCGGGAGAAGAGGTGCCACTGACGACCGACAGCTGGATATGGTCTCCTCGTCAAGCTAGATACCACTCTAATCGACGAAAGCTGATCAGTCTCTCCCGTGGGGTCGCCAGTGTCGCTCGGATACTCCAACAACTGCAGTCAACCCAATACCAGTCCTGCAAGCCATTAGAACAATGGTTGAACCTGACAATTGAATGTGATAATGCTGCGTCTGTCCGCTGGTGCCAGACTACTGCATGAACATTGAAGGTGACGGCAGTCGAGAGAGACGCCATTGTACGGTTGGTCGGGGCTCTTGGTTCTCAGCTGCAGGCCATCAAGGCTGTGGTCCCATATGAGATCCGTCATCTCCCAGGAGTAGCTAACACGAGAGCGGATGGGTTGAGCAGAGTGTTGGAAGCAGCTATCCGGGGGACTTCGGCAACTATACATACTTTGCTGCAAGCGGTCGTGGCAGAAGATCAGGCTTTGGTTGGAAGCAAGAAGAAAGGTCTCTTCGAAACGGCCGAGCAGATGCACGCCGAGGGCGAGCGCGACGCCGATACTGATTGGTGTTGTGAGGGTTGCCCCGGGCATCCACTACCAACCTCAGACTCCCACGCTGGATATAACTCGGCGGTACATCTGGTGGAGGAATATCTTCCCTTTATCGTTCCTGAGCTACAATCAACTGCATTCATTGATAAGTGTTGCCTAGCCAGAGACTCGTCAGCTGAGCCGAGTGTGTCCCAGGGTTATCCACTGGTTCGTCGTCTAAAAGAATGCAGCTGGGGGACGGGAGGTATGTTATATTTGGTGGCGGTTATGCGTTGGTGTCTTCGAACATGGAATACTCTTGCCCGTGACCCCAATGCTGACACTTTCACGGAATATCCTACTGTATGGGATCGTTCGGATCTGCTAGTTGTCATTCGTAGTGACCAACAATCTTGTCCCAGTTTACCCCCCTCTAGTGATGTAGGTCGGGGAACGGGGCCTTACTTCCGTATTCATGATGTTGTTCACCTTCGTTCTGCAGGACCAACGGGGATTATTGAGTATAAACCTTATGTTTCATCGTATATGCGGGATGTTCTCCTCAGAGACATCCATCGTTCTAACGACCATTGCTCTCCTTCGTATTCGCGGTCTCAGCTGCTCACTGGGTATTGTAGTACCCGTGTCACTGTAGCAGCCAGACAGATTTGTAGAAAACAGTGCGCTTTATGTATTCGTTTCGCCCGTAAGGCTAGATGGACATTACCGGTTGGGGGACCGATGTTCGATATTCGTACTCTTCTAACATGTCCTTCGTATCGGCCTTACGAGGCCATTGGAATCGATTATGTCACTATTGAGGGTGTTAAAGTATGGACCTTCTGTTGTGTGGCTACGCGCCATATGACTCTTATTTACACTCCCACGGAATCTACTACGGGTCTTATCATGACGTTCCAAGAGTTTATGATGTTATGGGGGACCCCCCGGTTGGTCCTCAGTGATAGAGCATCCTACTTCAAGAGTGCCCAATGGAATCAGTTCCTTAAGGGTCACAATATTCTCTCTTGGTTAAGCGCTGCCGTTGCTCCGTGGGAAGGGTCTTATTATGAAAGACTGCATGGCGTTGTAAGGACTATTCTCAGACCGATGTTGTTGATACCCTATACCCGTCGTATACTCCGGGAGTTTGACCCCCGGAGTGTGCAGGATGTTCGTTCTTTACGTCTGCTCCTGCTTGAGGTATCTTTGATGCTCAACACCCGTCCTCTGACTATCGATTGTTAGGATGGGGTCATAACTCCTGACTCTCTGGTACAGGGGTATACTCGGTCTACGTCCACCTCTTCATTGCCAACTCCTATTGTTGAAGCAGACGAGGTTATTCCGGTCGTACCCGACCCTGTGGGCGCAGCGGCTGTACCTATCAATCCTTCTGCTGCAGTTCTTCCTTCTCGTGGACCCGACGCTGCTCCTCGTGGATGCGGCGCTGCTCCTCGTCGGGTTGCAGCTGTACGTAGGGTGTTCCTCGATTACCACTTCCGGCGGTTGAAGGAGCGTAGTAACGCTCAGTATCACTCTAACGGTCAGTGGAAAGTTTTCGAAGTTGGTGCACCTGTGTTTGTTCAAGCCGCTAAATCTATCGTGCCGGCCCGTATTCTGGAAGCTTACCCGGCGCGTGATGGGGTTGTTCGTCGCTATAAAGTAAGGTTTCTTCGAAGTGAGCACGAAACGGTGATCAGTCATGCAAACATCGCTGCTGCTTTCCCGTGGGAGACCTTAGTTTCTGATGACGACTTGTGAGTAGTTATCGATGTCTTATTCAACTCGTATTTTCTTTATTCTCTGTCTTATAGCCTGACTGATCAGGGGGGCGTATATTGATGCTCGACCAGTCCGTGCGGCAGAGAGCGTCACCTTTTTGTACATGCGTACAGACTTTCTCCTTGTGCTTGCGTACAAGTGTGAGCATAGGATACATTCCGTACTATTGATCTTGAGCATTGAGCGTTACTAGCTCCTATGTCCGTAGCCATCTTGGCTCAAGGTCTCAGTGTACGTTTGGGTCGCATCTCTCCAGCTAATCTCGGGTCGTGTTGACACAAGGGAACGACGGGAGGCGCCGGACATCAACACTTGCAACGACCAGTCTTCGTGAAGAATTGGCATGTTGTGGCACGCTTCGATTTATGATAGATGTTATTTTGTCAGCTTGAGCCAAGTGCGGTTGGTTTGCCCAATAGTTGCTCCAATGTAGGAGGATGATGTGCATAGAGCTGTCTGCTAGGATCAACTCGGACTCGAGGTAGCTGAGTATCAGGCTGAAAACATCGGCACAATCTTGCAACCAGTGCTCAAGGTTGAACTTCATACTGGCCTTCTTGGCATCTGTACAGTCTGTGAGAGATATATCTATGGTAGTCCAAGCCGTCAACCGGGACATGTTGGCCAGGCAAATCTCCAAAACATGCTGTGCTTGTGTCTTGGGGTGAACGGCGACTAGTATAGCAATTCTTAGAGGGAAGGACAGCTTCGCCAAGGACATACGATGGAGTTTGCACGTCAATGATGGCTCTGACCACTATTCTTTAGCAAACCCCCACTCCTTGAGCCAGGTCTTGACGTCTAGTGTCAAGGGTTTCCCCTTGGGTGACATTAGGGTAAGTCCAGTCACATTACCATATGAGCCGAATGTACCAACGCCAAGAATAGTGAGAGTGGCTGTTGTTGGTTGCCGTAGCTTCCTGAGTTCAGTCTCAGAGAGCGCATTTTTGCTCTGTTCAACATCACGGTCGTTGTTGATGGTCGTGACCACGTTGCTCAAGAACCGATAGGATGATGCACCATTTGGTGGCCAATCCTTGGCCGATTCACGTTCTTGGTCGAAATCCAACTCTGACTCGATTATACCGCTCATAGTTCAACAGGATTGTTTTTAAGGGCAAGGTAGATGATGTAACCTCTTAACTCAAGTTCTGGGTCTTTCGCTGTACCGGTATTATGGGAGTAGACTGATAGGTAGAATATCAGGCGTACGAGTCCAATAACCGAGTTAATGGAATGACAACTAACATGGATATTCGTATTAGGACGGACTGATAATAGGTTGGACTATACGACTATGACGCGAGCACAATGAACGGAACATAGCGAATTGTGATCGTGAAAAGCGCTCGTCTTAATAATCGATAACGTTCAAGACGGATAGTATCAACAAGTGCCGCCCGGAACCGTACTGATTCCTCTCGCAGATAATGAACGCTGTACTGCAACAGGAACTCTTCCTGCTTTAGTCAAAGCGAAGCTATCACTCTCAACTTGGGAAAGACTCACTCGACGTCTATCCGGAGAAAAACCCGCTCCAGAAGTAAACTGGAATCGGCTACGGTTACGATCCGTATACAACGGCTTGAACTTACCCGAACAAAGGTCATGAACAATAATGTCAACCCAGGTAGGGCCAACAGCCAGAACTTTTGCCAGTACATAGATCGATGAAGCTGGATCAGCACCGACATTCACCACGATGAACTCATCCTTACGGAGACCATCAATGGATCCTGGTAATGAGTGTAGTGGTTGATCATCGAAGGTGATATCTTCCCTCCTCAGTGATATCTGAGATATAGGAACTCTCTTCACCTCCTTGGTGTCGTTGCCTAGATATTTTATCCAACAAGTACGGAAGTTGGGATACAGCTAAGCGTAACCATGTAATTGAGGGGAGTCAGAGTCATAACCGGACGGTTGTAAACCAGAAGGAGGAGTACATACGACGGCTTCACGAATCTCCAAATTCTTCTTCGACGTAATCTTGGTACCTGGTTTTAATAGCTCAGGAGCACCAGAGGTTTGTAGAACATTAGCATTAGCGCATGCTCCTCCGAAGCGAAGGTAGCGCTTCTCATCGAGGTAAGATTGACATAGCTGTTCGATAGACTCATGGGGATACTCCTCGATCTCATCGGTAAATAAGCGGAGCGGGCCACGAGACAGACCGAGTGCACAGTCAGAAGGGGTAGGTGACGGACCACAGTGGTTGTGATAGTAACAACTGAGGTGTAGGGCATAATCCCACGGCAACGAAGCTGGTAGTTTCTCCATCAATGGCTTCAGGCGCCCCACTGTTCTCTCACTCAATCCATTAGACTGAGGGTCAGCCGGTAGAGAGGAGGAGTGGTTTATACCTAAAGCTGAGGTCAGCAGCTTGGTTGAACGTGCCCTATATGCGGGACCTCCATCCGTGAATAGGCATCGAGGTACACCACAAATGGGAACCCATGAGGTAATGAATGCCATAGAGAGAGATAGAGCATCCTCACCATAGGTAGGCACCGCGACTGTGAATCCAGAAGCTGCGCAAACGAAGATGACAAAGCTCGTCAATTCCTTACGAGTGGGTTTTCCACATGACGTAGGAGGATGAGCAAAGTCAGAGTAGACTATCTCCAAACGGACTGTAGGTGTAGACCTTGGATTAGCACTGCTAGCAATCAGCTCGTGCTTTCGGCTCTCCCAGCAGGTAGAACAGGCCCGATAGGCCCTATCGACGTAAGCGTTCATACGAGGGAACCACACACAGCGACGCAGAACGTCTAGAGTGGACTTAACCGACCCATGACCAGCTACGTGATGGGCTAAGGCAACGACTTCGTGTCGAAGTGATGGGAAGTAGTCTGGATTCACCCCCTTAATCAGAGAGACCGGGACTCTGCCGGCAGGTAGGACCAAGCTTCGACGAAACAGACCCTTCACGAAACAGAGTTTGTACATTATATCATCCGAGTCGACGAGGAACACACCATCCTGATAGTCTCTACTGGAAGTGGCCTGGTGGAGTTCGGGAAGAGGTATATTATTGACCTTCGTCTCACGATCGGAGGAGTACAAAGCAACCAAATGTGGTTTCACAGTGGCCAGCGCGGAAGAGAAGCTCGACGGGTCATCCTCCTCGTCGGTCTCCACCGGTTCGTCATCATCGTCAGGACGGTGAGATAAGACGAAAGCTGGATACCAGGCTCGTAGTGATTCATCTCCTACAAGACAGGATTCGTTAAACGGGGATAATCCACAACAGACGTGTTCCCTTGGTGGGAGGTTATCCTCTACGGGGAAATCTAGGTTTAGACCCATTTTCTGGATAGATCCCAAACCAAGAAGTATCATCGGAGATTCTGTATCGAGGAGCTTCCTCGGATACACCAATCCCTCGAGCTCACAAGCTGCTCCGAGGATCGAACATTTCAGAGAGATCTTGGAGGTTAAGGTGACAGTCACACCGATACCTTGGATAATACAAGGCCGATCTAGAGCTTGTATGCTATGCTTGACCCCGAGGCTAACGATAGTATCCTCAAGTATAAGGGTGTGAACACTGCCACTATCGAGAACGAGTAGGACCTCCCGACCGTAACTGGTAACTGGGACTGCTACCATCCTGCCGCCAGCTACGTGAAAAGCCGGGAACACGATGTCGGGATTCTCCTCGACAGACTCGACGTCAACACTCTCCTCGACGGTCTCTCCCGCTTGAGATGTAACGACGGGGGCTACCACTCGCTTCTTGGACAGATCGCCCGATTTAGCTGGGCGCAACTCTGGGTGCAAGGCCCAGCAGTTGTCCTTACTGTGGCTTCGTCGTCTACAGTGTGGACACCGCGGACTTTTCGACGCCCCTTCTCCTAGGCTGATTCCAGGATTTGCAAGTTTTCCAGTCCTAGGTTGAGACCTTCGGTCGCCCTGAGGCTTGCCGCCCTTCCCTTCTTTCACTGGTTCTCCAGGAAAAAATTTCCGAGTAGGACTTGACTTATGATCATCATTCTGGGGTTTAGATGTCGTTCCATCAGAGGCCTTCTGCGAGCCCTCGAACACTTTGGATGTAGGTTTTGGTCGCTCTCCTTCCCAGGGGAAGCGGTATGCAGAAGTCACTTGATAGGTACGAAGCCACGCCACCAGTGAATCATATTCAACATCCAATGGGGATAACCTTCGTTGTCTTAAATAGACAGAGTATGCCGCCGAAAGTGATCGTCCTACGTTCTTGAGTATAACAATCGCACGCTGATATGGAGAAGGATGGGTTGCTCGAAGGTACGAGCAAACATCAGTGAGGTTGCGGAAAGCCTTCGTCTCCCGTAAAAGGAAGCCGTCCAAATTCTCATTCTCACCCTGTTTGATCCCTCGCCACTCACGATAGGCCGCGTCGTAGCTGATACATGGTATTTCTCCAAGGGTCAGGTGAGCGAGGATCGAACACAACGACTGTTTCCATGCTTCGCCCCATATCGCATCATCAGTAGATCTCAGTCGAGCCGTCGCCGCTTCTCGTTGCGCTGAAGTAGGAGCTTTCCATTTGGGACCACCACCTTCTCTCAGGTCATTGAGGTTGCTGAGGAAGGAGTCGGAATATGGAGTACCAACGAAAAAGGTGATGGCAGCATCTATCCGTGGTCGTCTCGAGCTCGGCTCATCGGGTCGTGAATAGTAACAGATTAATACTGCCACTATGAGGGCTGCGTCCATAGAGTGGTAGTTCTCCAACTCCGACAAACTCTCGTAAGGCCTTCAGGAATGCCGGCCCCTGGCTCTCCGATAAGGACGTGTCCCAGCCTTTAGCAACATATCTGCGTAGACTCCACGGTGACTTGGACCACGTCCACCATCTAATGTCCTCGTATTGAGCATAATGAGTTGCCGCCAGGATCTGGTTGATCACAGATTCCTCACGGCGAGCATAACCCACAGGATTGAGGACCGACTCCAGCAGTTTCCGGGCCGAAGGTCGTTGGTGTATAGCCTCCACGAATCGTTGGTGTATAGCCTCCACGGATCCCTCTTTGATGACGGCGCCCTCGTCGATATCCTCGACCCTATCTCTGTCCCCAGCATTGGCCGATTGGTACTCCTGGGCCTCAGAGCTCTCCGCTTGTGGTAGGTTCTCCTCCTCAGCGGTACCCAGTCTCTCCTCGGAATCTTCCGACGGTGGGGGTGCAGGTCTGGATGGGGTCCTCCGGGGAGTATTACGACGTCTATTAGTGCGCCTTGGACTTGTCATCGTTCGGCTGATGGTCTAATAACTCTGTTATTCTTGATGTAACCTCTTAACTCAAGTTCTGGGTCTTTCGCTGTACCGGTATTATGGGAGTAGACTGATAGGTAGAATATCAGGCGTACGAGTCCAATAACCGAGTTAATGGAATGACAACTAACATGGATATTCGTATTAGGACGGACTGATAATAGGTTGAACTATACGACTATGACGCGAGCACAATGAACGGAACATAGCGAATTGTGATCGTAAAAAGCGCTCGTCTTAATAATCGATAACGTTCAAGACGGATAGTATCAACATAGAGCAAACTTGCTGTGTGCTCATTGCCAATAAAATAAGGGAGGAGTAAGTGAGTGTAAGAGTGCAAGAGTGCTGGCTACTCGTTTGGGCGAGTACACATCATCATACTCATTCGATGTACCTCTGTGCAACCCCTCCCATTATTACGTAGAATCTCCCTTCAGTCCAGTTCGTGCTGCTGAACGTAGTCATCCGTCACAGCTACAGTCGATGGTGCTAGTCTTATAGTCTTGCTAGTCGTTAGTTCTGATAGTACTAGCACATCCCGTCGCTTTGCTCCGGGGGATCTCTAGCTCCTGACAGGAGCCTCCTGTGGGGGCTGCGCGGCCACGCAGTTTTGTCATCACTGTATTTTCGATTTATGTGTTCACGAAGTTCGTGTTGCGCTTCACCGAGGATCTGGACTGTTGACCATGCAATCCAAAGTGCGGTGAGCAGAGATTTCGAGACCCGAATGCATGTCCAAACCAGGCTCAATTTACTTCTCATACCGCCTCTCATGGGCCTCATGAGGCCTAGCTGTTGACCTTAACCATCCTAGACACGGGTATAGGATGATCAGTGTAATCCACCACAGTATTAGAGCTCTTATCACTTCTGAACTTTGAAGGACTTCCGGAAAGAGTCTAATATGGGCGAGAATCTCTCGGAGATTGCCCCGTTCAAAGGTGAACGGGACCCTCGGTCTGCTACACGGTGACGACGTGAAGTTAAAGATCGATGTGATCATCTCGCGGCGCCTATCGTCATTTTTTTATTATACTAAACGAAGCTGTGACCCTGCTGTTTGGAAGAAGCTATGGCTCGATGATATGCGTGATATTCCCCCAACATATGATGCTTATTCTAGTGCGATTTATACACGGTGGACTAGAGCGACTAATTATGGCTTCCAGGTGACACGAGAACCTCTGCTCATGAACTGGGTTAACCTGAAGCCGCGACGAGATGAGTCTGTGGCTGACTTCGCTGAGTGACTGAGAGATCTGCGTGCTGAACGTGAGCTGCTGGATATGGCACCAAAAGATGATGAAGTCAAGGCCATTTTTCGACGAGGACTGAAGCTCGCTTTATGGGCATTAGACCGTACTAATCTGAAGGTCGACCAGTTCATCTTTAAGAGTATTAGTCGAGAAGAGGAGATGAATCGGCTTAGTATTCTTGGTAGGAGCAGTGACTCCATAAACCGAAAGGCTGATGACAAAAATAGAGGCAAGTGCAAAGCATTTGCGAGTACAGATGCTTGCCGCTTCGGCGATCGGTGCAGGTATGCTCATACCAAAGACACCTCACGTGGTGAACCGACGCGTCCTAAGGATATTTCTGATAGTCCAACTTCCACTGTGACTATAGCGCCTATTCCGAAGCCAGCTGGTGAGGCTACTTCGTTCTCGCCTTCTACGACTCGGAAAATGATATGTTACAAGTGTCGACGAGAAGGGCATATCTCTAAAAATTGCCCTATGCAGAATCTCGTAACTGATAATGCGACCGATCCTCTCAAAGCAGTGGGCTTTTACTATGTGGAGCCTATCCGAATTTTCGACTCCATGACAGTAGATTTTAAGGCCGCATCACCTGCCAATGTAGCTCAGAGTTGTTCTCTTAAGTACATTGATAGTATCCTGGCTGAGGAAATATGTTCTTGCTTGTCGACCACTATTGCAGACCTTTCTACTGCTCATGTATCATCGCAGGTGAATGATACGACTCTTAAGGCTACTAGATGCTTCAAACTATATCTTTCAACAGATAAACCAGTGTTGGGCGACCCTATTCTACAATATCTCGTATTAGACAAGCTGAGTCCTAAGGCCGTCATTGGTCTAGACGGTATGAAGCGCCTAAGCACTGAGATTGTCCTTGATGATAAGATGATGGTTCAGTTTAAGCCTCCAAAGTTGCCCGAATTGAATATTTTCCAAGATTATCACGGAGACCTTGTGGCCGTACTCAATGATGGTAAAGATATCTGGTCGAACCAGACTTATTCTACTGTGTGCCAGTTCCCCAGTGATGGTACTGCGTCAATCTAAGAGTTGTAGACGCTGTAGACGCTGCTATTGATAAGCTCAAGAACTGGCAGTCGGTGAATAGTGCTCCTGATTATAAGATGAGGGTCCGAGAGCTAGATGATAAAGACCGTGACGTACCTCAACAACGTTATTGCTTCGAGTTTTCGATTCCCATGAATGAGAATGGTAAGAGGACCCGCCAACAACAATACAACTACTCTGGTGCTATGATTGGCAAGCTGAAGCCTGAAGAACGGGAGAGTTATAAGAATGAGATTGATGGCTATCCAAGGGCAGGTTATTGACACACATTGGCGTTGTTGAAGGTCTTCTCCTCTGTATAGTCGGAGTCCTGCGCCATTCAGCGAAGGCTGGATTTCCACGTGTGCGCGAGATTGCCAATCAAGCAACGTTCAACGTTGCCACTAGTCTCAGACTAGTAGTTTTATTGTCTGATCTGTAGATCGGCAATCGGGGAATCCATGACCTGCGAATGCGCCAAAGGTTCTATGTGGCAGGGACCGCATGGCGCGAACTAGGTCTCACTTGTTGCACACCGATACGGGCCCGGCACACATTCCCCGGGTCGGGTGGGTGTGGTCAAAGCGCATCAAGCCAGTGGTGCATTGCTGCTCCACATGGAAACAAGGAGTTGTTAGGTTAAGTTCCGTAGGATGGCCGCACACATATCTTGCACGCATGTGTGCGTATGCACGTGCAGATTGTGTGCTCTTCGCGGTTCGTTCAAGGTTTGCATAGTGGTGAGGTGATTTCACTGCCGGAACGCTCCGCTAAGCTCTCAAGAAGAAGTGGTCCCGAGCACAAGTTCGAGCGCTCTGAACACTTCACGCAAGTCTTCGTTCATCCCGATATCATTGCTGTCGAGGATAGCTGGCATGAATCTAGCCCCTCTGGTTACATCCCTTACAACCGAGCTGAGTTGAAAGGGGATAGTGTAAACACAGAGGAACGAGATGTTGAAGAAATTCTCAACAAGATCAAGATCATCTCCGAAGTACTGATATTGAGTCATGAAGCCCGGCTATGCGTGCTCATGCCGTGGAACGTACTCTACAGTCTCTACTGTATTGGGCCAATCGACAAAGCCTGCAATGTTCAATTAGATATTGCTCAAGATGCCTTTCGCCGTCGATATGGTGGCAACTTTGGAGAGGCTTGTAGCGGTTGCAGCTCTCGGACTTTGATTCAATTGATGTTGCTGCAGTCCGAGTCAGCAAGATGGTCCATCAATCATTCCCTGACTTGAAGGCCCACGATAAAGTTTGAAAAGCCTCTGTGTACCACCTCCGCTCGGAGAATCATTTATCGAAAGCCTAACTATTGTCATGTATGCTTGACAGGATGTGGTTAGTTGCTTCACCTGGCACGAAACGCCTATAATGATATTTTGTCAAAAACGGCTGTTAAAGTTGTTGTAACTACTCAGTATTCTCCTACAGGGCCAGTTTTCTTAACATTCCCAAAATGAAGGAAATATAAAGAAAAAAGGCAAGGTAAGGGAGGCAAAAAAGGAAAAGCCAAAGGTAAAGGCCGCTACATGCAGTCGTAGGAACTGCTTCCAAACAACACCAAGGAGGTAACCCCTCTTTTATTGTGTCCGTGCCGGAGACAGTAAGTACCTCCCAGAAACACACAAACTCTGGCGAGAAGGGTTACGCCTTTGGCAACAGCAGGGCTATACTAAGCCTGCACGAAAAGAAGACTTGACATACACAGTTACAATGATTCTCGTGGAACAGTCACATAAAACAAGCACCTTTGTGAGACAGGTTCTTGACTACAAACCGATCAATAGGTGCTTGTTATGAGACAATGAGACAGAACACATAACCTATGATGCCAACCTTCGACAATTGCGAGCAGGATACAGCAAAGAGGGTAAACACCGAGAGAATTACCTCCTCTCGGATATTCGAAAAGCATATCTTTGCATTCAAATCGCACCAGAGTGTGCTAAGTATCAAGAGGTGCAGATAGTTGAGGAAGATGGAACCATTTCCTACTGGGAATTAGAGCGTTTGGAATACATATTGCTGCAAGAGTTATCAGAGCTGTGATTGATTTCATTCTCGGGGAAAATGAAAGCACTTTTTAAACACTTAGATGGAGGGCTGAAGCCCTTTTTCGGCAATCTGCGGGTCCCGGAATCTCAACTAAGACGTTAAAAAGGCATTGTGAGCAAACAGGTTTGGTTTCAAACCACCCGAGGAGGCTGAAACAGCCAGAGTCTCAGGCTTGCAACGTCTTTCTTACCCACAATGGAAGAAAAGAGCAACCCAACTCCTATTAAGTAAAAAAATTTTCATTTACAATCATGGGTAGCTACACTAGAGTGTTCCCACTACCCCATACTTAACTGACTAAGACCTGATGCACGAGCATTAGAGAGGTACGCGTATTTAAATAATTCTCGTGCTCACTCAAAGACACAGATATCAGCTATATCGCTATATCAGCGAGATCAGATATACGATATTAGCTAAATGCGCTCAATTATCTAAAGATGTTAAAGAACGAGGGGGTCCTGCTGTAAGAGGTTTCGCCAACCAATAGGATTGAACCGTGGATACGATGGGATCGGAAGCCGTGTTACGAGACATCAACAGCCTGGTTATTCCATGGCGTAGAGCGCTCGATGGGCATGAACCACGCTGAGACAATTGCGGCGAGAAGACCTAGTAATCAAGCGAAGGCTGGATCAGCTGAGTGTCGATTACAAATTATTGAAGACACAATAAGCCTAGCGAAGTTACAACCGTTATATCCGAGGTTCTCTCCTGATGTCACTTTGTAATAGTTCGTTATCTGCGAAAATGGCGAAAAGGTGTGATTGGCTGCCGAAGATGTAGATTTTCGACTAAGATCTTCTGGGATCTCAATCTTCGCGGGGAGATTACCAAACCACGTAGCTCTGGTCTTGATACTGCGGAAACGCGGAGCCAGAGATCAGGAAATCAGGAACGATGATAGCCGACTCGCATTGAGGATGAGAATGCATAATGAGGAAGTAGGATCTGCGCAGTCTGATCCTGGATCCTTTTTCTGAACGGGAAAGGTGAGTCAAATGATAACGGGAGAAGAGACTCTGGTCCCTACTATCAGAATGACTAGGACGAGGATCTAGGGAAGCGAGCTACAGAGGGTATTGATAGTGCCTCGAGTAATTGTGGGAGTGCTATGGAGTCGAGCGAAAAGGAGTTCTCATCAACTAACGAATAATCCAGTTTGCTACGCGAAGCTTATGAGCCAGCGGATACAGAAAACGAGTAAGATTCTGAAGAGGCTGCTATTGATGATGTAGTAACCGAATTCCTACTGACTCATCCACATCTCTGCGATTCCAAAAGCAGCCTCGAAAAAAAAATGTGACAATCGATGCCTCAGACGCTTACCTGAAGGACAAGTTTCCGCCAGTGACTATAAACATCATACAGCTCACCATCCAAGACTAGCAGGAGGACAATGTCTGGGATCGAAGATAATTGCTTCATTGGAGCTATATGACATAGTGTCTGCTTAATTCTTGTCTTCCATAAGTGATGACAGCATAGCCGCGGTAACTTCTGATGCCTGTCACGGTGTAGCAGCTGACGATGCTTTTCTGTCAGCTTTTGCCACTTTTCCGATACTCAATTCCTCCTGACATCCCATTGTGTAGAGGTATAGTGGTTTGGGTGGTTGCCATGGGGAAAGATATGTTCCTACTAGGTTAGTAGACTGGTTTGTCAGATTTCTGTTTCTCGCGTACCAGTGCTAGACGTGATCACTAGTGCGGGTTTATACATTTGATCACTAGTGCGGCTTTGGGTGGTTCAGTGGAGGCCTTTATAGCATCGTCAGTTCTGTCATAATGTATTTGGTTCAGACCATAGCTCGAACTATGACTTACATATGCGACGATGATGTAAAAGGCGCCATCGGGAAAACCAACAGCACCAGAGTGTCAACTCTCAGGGGTGTTTAGTCGCCGCAAATAGTGCGGATTATGGCTTGTTACCATCCCCAGAACTACTCTCAGTAGTACTCTGGAATATACTCAGTGATCTCTTTCTTTGGTCTGACACGTGACAACCTCCCCTCCCCAGACATGATGGATGATGTTGTTCTGCAATTGCTCCTCGTCTATTGCACTGCTCCTTAATCGAAAAGCCGCATTTGATCTCCCGCAGGAATGTCCGGTAAATTTGAGTAAACTCGATTAAGTTCGAGGAACACATGAGATGTCATGATGTAATGAAGAGGGGGACGGTGTCTCCGAGGGCACAAACGGAGGTACAGCTCATCTGTTCAGTGATAGTGCCCTCACCGAGTCGTTCACAGAGGCCGAAGCTACCTGATTCCGGGTGTTAGGAGACACCGTCGGAATCCTCAGTTTTCCATAGTACGCGACATATCAGCTAAAACATTCACGTAAATGAACAACACGAACTCGGAAAAGCCCAATGGGAGACACCGTTTGAAAGCTGACGCATGGACACCGAGCGCGGTTTCTGACTTGTCGAAACAGCAGCCGTCGGTGAGAGCTGCTCAAACAAGCAACATGAAAATCAGTGACACAGATACATACATATCATGGAAGGGATACGCCAACGAGTCACTCGGCGAAGTGAAACACGCCAACGGCAGCTAACAATTCGAGATAAGATAGTATCTTCACAGCTCAAGACATCTGAACTTCAGATGACCTGAAGGTCCTCGTGGACGTTCAACTTCACACCGCAGATCAGTGTGAATCCACCAAAACAGTTCACAGAATACCATAGAACAGGTGAAGGCTGGCCCGCTCGAACCAACTGCCGCACAAGCTTGTAGGGATGTCTCTGACGCCCAAAGACTTCTGTCCCCTCATCTGGCGCCCCATGTGTAGCATAAAAAAACAAGGGGCGATCTGACTACGACATGGTATGTAAGGTAGCATATACCCAGGTTTATCATAGAGGACTGTAGCTAGTTCTAGGAACTCGGTTTCCGTTTTTTCTCCGGATAGACGTCGAGTGAGTCTTTCCCAAGTTGAGAGTGATAGCTTCGCTTTGACTAAAGCAGACAGAGTTCTTGTTGCAGTACAGCGTTCATTATCTGCGAGAGGAATCAGTACGGTTCCGGGCGGCACTTGTTTATGCTATCCGTCTTGAACGTTATCGATTATTAAGACGAGCGCTTTTTACGATCACAATTTGCTATGTTCCGTTCAGTGTGCTCGCGTCATAGTCGTATAGTCCAACCTATCATCAGTCCGTCCTAATACGAATATCCATGTTAGTCGTCATTTCACTAACTCGGTTATTGGACTCGTACGCCTGACATTCTACCTATCAGTCTACTCCCATAATACCGGTACAGCAAAAGACCCAGAACTTGAGTTAAGAGGTTACATCAGTACGTCACGGTGGTGTACAAGTTAAGCGAAGTCACTAGTGTATACCACTCAGGACTTGGCAGTGAATCATTCACAAAACACCAAATATACTAGTCGACAGCGTCAGAGAGCTGTTTCTCAGCAACAGGCTGTTGCCAACAGCTAACCCTGACAAACACCCCAACCACTGTACCACTAATTGACGTTGGAGGAGGAGTTGGGTGAAGGTTCTGCAAGGGAGCAAGTTCAACGACTGTACAACGCAATGGGGGAAATGGCGCTCGCCGCATTCAACTTTGTATAGGTGGCACCAGATTGGGTAGTTACGTACTTCGGAAAGCGCAACAAGCTCACGCTTCCGAGCATGAAGAATTAAATGTTGGTAGCAGATTATCGGATAAAGCCTATGAGACTACAGGTTGCACCTGTGTAGTGATTCTGCTCCAACTACGATATGAACAATATTCTTTTTGTACTGGTACAGGGGCCCTCGTCTAGTCATAGTAGTACTACGGTAGTACGTCACGGTGGTGTACAAGTTAAGCAAAGTCACTAGTGTATACCACTCAGGACTTGGCAGTGGATCATTCGCAAAACACCAAATATACGACTAGTCGGGAGCGTCAGAGAGCCGTTTCACAGCAACAGGCTGTTGCCAACAGCTAACCCTGACAAACACCCCAACCACTGTACCACTAATTGACGTTGGAGAAGAAGTTGAGTCAGAATTCTTGCGGAGAGCGATTGAGCGAGTCGGCTCATGAAATGGGCACCATTCATCTTGCGACGACCGAGAAAGCTCTCTCCAGGTCGAAAATTGTTCCAAAATACTTGGCGTGATAACATTCAATACAGCATCTTCCAGAGCATGACCAATTAAACTAAATATAGTACTCCGGTCTAAAAGAACCATCACTGAGTCTTTCCAATATCTTTCTCATTCTCAATCAATACCTTGCTCATCAATAATCATCCTTCCAGTTTCCTCTGGACGTATAGGCTGTCGTGTTTTAGAATCTCGAGCGAGCTGCTCACCGACCTTATTAGCGAGATCAAATATATGGGCCTCTGCCCGGTCACGACTCTCCATCGCTGAATCGCGCCGATGTCGACGACGATGGCTTCCTTTTGTTCTGGTTGCGGCAGAACGAGTTCTCCTGGATGGAGGTCCATTTATGGAGCAAGGTCAGTGACGGCTAAGACCGTTGTGTAGAGGGGGAAGGCAATTTAGCGTCCCAAAGAGCGCTAGATTAGTCGAGCGCTCGCCGGGAGCGCTTGTAGAGGATACATTTCGCAAGTAAGGCAACTGTTTTACTGGTCCATCTATCCTGATGGGCTACTTGCCTCAGGACCAAAGGCAGTATTGATGAAGTTAATCGTACCGTCAAAGTCACCTGGGTGAAATCAGGAGTTCTCGACGTGCAGAGGTGAGCTCTCATTCTTCACGGTGTTTAGCCGAGTGTTACTGATGCCTCTATCTTCATTAATGTTTTTCTTCAGCGTGGTGGCTCTCGGGAGAGTAAGGTTTAGTTGCTTTCCTTCGTTGCCCCGATGCCACATGTCCGCTGTAGATCTGTGTTATACTGTACACTCTGATGTACCTATTGGTTTCGCTGAAGATATAGACCTCTTCAACTCTCCTGCATAGCCTAAGGCTAGTAGGTATGAAGATGGTAGTCCTCTTCCTGCTGACGAACCGGCCGATCGTCGTTGGACAGGTCAAAAGAAAAAAAAACTAGGTATCACAGATACTGTGTTAGATTTTCTAGTGTCTCGACTAGATGCGGCTATGATCCCGATTTACAGCGTTCTACGTCGAATGGATGTATAAACTGGTCGTGTTAGAGGAGTCACCGAAGCAGAGTGTAGGACATTTGTCGAAGTCTCATCTTCTATCGAAACCTGGCAGAGAGGATGTGGCTTTACGACCGATCGATAACTATCGTCGATCTGGACTTAGCGCCCAGTTGAGGAAGGATACACTCTCTATTCTCTACTAATGCACAAGTATTGGAAAGTCGAACTGGTGTGAGTCTGGTGTCCTCAAGGCTTCAGTACATGAGATGAATTTACTGAAGAGAGTTGATGTATGCTGTTTAATCGACTCACGTATACATGTATCATAGTTGGAGACATCGTCAATGTCGATTGTCACATTGTTATAGTGGTTGGTCGGTTGAGTTGGACATCGCTCCTGTTAGAGGAGTCCTGTATAACACCATCAAGTTCCGAGTCAAGCATCCCTATATATTGCTCGATGGAATGGCTTACGTAGTGTAAATATCTCATCTGCTCCGGAAACCGATTTTCTAGAACTAGCTACAGTCCTCTATGATAAACCTGGGTATATGCTACCTTACATACCATGTCGTAGTCAGATCGCCCCTTCTTTTTTTATGCTACACATGGGGCGCCAGATGAGGAAACAGAAGTCTTTGGGCGTCAGAGACATCCTTACAAGGTTGTGCGGCAGTTGGTTCGAGCGGGCCAGCCTTCACCTGTTCTATGGTATTCTGTGAACTGTTTTGGTGGATTCACACTGATCTGTGGTGTGAAGTTGAACGTCCACGAGGACCTTCAGATCATCTGAAGTTCAGAAGTCTTGAGCTGTGAAGATACTATCTTATCTCGAATTGTTAGCTGCCGTTGGCGTGTTTCACTTTGCCGAGTGACTCGTTGGCGTATCCCTTCCATGATATGTATGTATCTGTGTCACTGATTTTCATGTAGTACTACTACGACTAGACGAGGGCCCCTGTACCAGTACAAAAAGAATATTGTTCATATCGTAGTTGGAGCAGAATCACTACACAGGTGCAACCTGTAGTCTCATGGGTTTTATCTGATAATCTGCTACCAACGTTTAATTCTTCATGCTCGGAAGCGTGAGCTTGTTGCGCTTTCCGAAGTACGTAACTACCCAATCTGGTGCCACCTATACAAAGTTCAATGCGGCGAGCGCCATTTCCCCCATTGCGTTGTACAGTCGTTGAACTTGCTCCCTTGCAGAACCTTCACCCAACTCCTCCTCCAACGTCAATCAGTGGTACAGTGGTTGGGGTGTTTGCCAGGGTTAGCTGTTGGCAACAGCCTGTTGCTGAGAAACAGCTCTCTGACGCTGTCGACTAGTCGTATATTTGGTGTTTTGTGAATGATTGACTGCCAAGTCCTGAGTGGTATACACTAGTGACTTCGCTTAACTTGTACACCACCGTGACGTACTGATGTAACCTCTTAACTCAGGTTCTGGGTCTTTTGCTGTACCGGTATTATGGGAATAGACTGATAGGTAGAATGTCAGGCGTACGAGTCCAATAACCGAGTTAGTTAAATGACGACTAACATGGATATTCGTATTAGGACGGACTGATGATAGGTTGGACTATACGACTATGACGCGAGCACACTGAACGGAACATAGCGAATTGTGATCGTAAAAGGCGCTCGTCTTAATAATCGATAACGTTCAAGACGGATAGCATGAACAAGTGCCGCCCGGAACCGTACTGGTTCCTCTCGCAGATAATGAACGCTGTACTGCAACAGGGACTCTGTCTGCTTTAGTCAAAGCGAAGCTGTCACTCTCAACTTGGGAAAGACTCACTCGACGTCTATCCGGAGAAAAAACCCGCTCCAGAAGTAAACTTGAATCGGCTACGGTTACGATCCGTATACAACGGCTTGAACTTACCCGAACAAAGGTCATGAACAATAATGTCAACCCAGGTAGGACCAACAGCCAGAATTTTTGCGAGTACAAGGTGGATCAGCACCGACATTCACCACGATGAACTCATCCTTACGGAGACCACCAATGGATCCTGGTAATGAGTGTAGTGGTTGATCAACCAAGGTGATATCCTCCCTCCTCAGTGATATCTGAGATATAGGAACTCTCTTCACCTCCTTGGTGTCGTTGTCTAGATATTTTATCCAACAAGTACGGAAGTTGGGATATAGATACCATGTAATCATGTAATCATGTAATGGAGGGGAGTCAGAGTCATAGCCGGACGGTTGTAGCCCAGAAGGAGGAGTACATACGACGGCTTCACGAATCTCCAAATTCTTCTTCCACGTAATCTTGGTACCTGGTTTTAATAGCTCAGTAGCACCAGAGGTTTGTAGAACATTAGCATTAGCGCATGCTCCTCCGAAGCGAAGGTAGCCCTTCTCATCGAGGTAAGATTGACATAGCTCTTCGATAGACTCATGGGGATACTCCTCGATCTCATCGGTAAATAAGCGGATTGGGCCACGAGACTGACCGAGTGCACAGTCAGAAGGGGTAGGTGACGGACCACAGTGGTTGTGATAGTAACAACTGAGGTGTAGGGCATAATCCCACGGCAACGAAGCTGGTAGTTTCTCCATCAATGACTTCAGGCGTCCCACTGTTCTATCACTCAATCCATTAGACTGAGGGTTAGCCGGTAGAGAGAAGGAGTAGTTTATACCTGAAGCTGAGGTCAGCAGCTCGGTTAAACGTGCCCTATATGCGGGACTCTGCCGGCAGGTAGGACCAAGCATCGCCGAAACAGACCCTTCACGAAGCAGAGTTTGTACATTATGCCATCCGAGTCGACGAGGAACACACTTTCCTGATGGAGCCTACCGGAAATTGCCTGGTAGAGCTCAGGAAGAGGTATATTATTGACCTTCGTCTCACGATCGTACAACGCAACCAGGTGTGGTTTCACAGTGGCCAGCGCGGAAAAGAAGCTCGACGGGTCATCCTCCTCGTCGGTCTCCACCGTTCGTCACGGTTCGTTGTCATCGTCAGGACGGTGAGATAAGACGAAAGCTGGATACCAGGCTCGTAGTGATTCATCTCCTACAAGACAGGATTCGTTAAACGGGAATAATCCACAGCAGACATGTTCCCTTGGTAGAAGGTTATCTTCTAGGGGAAAAGTCTCCGACTGCCAAAGGATGACCGAGTAGCTCGCTCCATTCTCAGGGAAGATCTGGCCGTCAACTAACCTCAAAAACAGATCGCACCAGAAGTTTTTCTCACCAGAGATATAGAGATACTCGACAGGAATGGCGCTATACTCGGCGGTAAGGTCATACCAGTTGAGCCATCTACTGCGTTGTGTCGGAGGCGCGTCTTCAGGTAATGGTCGTCGTGCCACTCTCTCTAGCGATGCGGTATTATCCGACAGTGTCACGACACGGGGGTTGCCACTGGTAGGAGGAAACAATGACACTATTATAGACTAAGCATAATAGAGAAACACTCCGACAAATTCTCTATCATAGTTCATCCAGTTTTTTCCAGCAGGTGTGAGCTTGTGTGAGTTACTCCACACGAGTCGGTCGTGACGTCTAAAGGTTTCATCTCCATTGGACTTCAGGTCGTCGATCGCACTCCTAGGGATTCTCCACAAAGAGGCGTTGGTACTCACTGGACTCGTATCAGCTACTATCACCCAGACCAAATCAGGTTACAGTATTTCTCCGATACGGTGCCAAGACACTAACTGCTTATGAATAAAACGTGACAGACTTTGCCACTGCTCCTTCTGCTCATCAGTCAGGTTAATCCGAGTCGACCGACGAGAAGTAGAGTGTAAACCGCGTAAGGTAGTGAACGGTTCGAGCAGAGACGACAGACAATCCTCAGCACGGTTAGTGATAAATGCTGATTTGCCGTAATTTAGTAGACCTAGACGTGATCGTAGACCTCCGACCGTGGTAGGAGGATGTTCTACGATTTGGTAGAGCATCTGCTGTGTCTTCTCGCTAAGGGACCATCCCAAAGGGCTCAGAAAGCTTGAGCTTTAGAAAGTCTACGGTAGTTGATGGTGGTTGTCATTTACGGACAGGCACCTCACAACGAGCATATTCCAGGATATCGATGACCACATTGTAAAGCCATCGACAAGCAGCTTCTTCATGGTGATGGATGAGAACATCGTTGAAGTAGGTTATTATCGCCTCGTCGTTCAGGGTGTACTCGGGCAGACCGGTTCGTAGTGCCAAAGCCAAACCATAACACCATCATGCAGCAGAGCGGACCCATCCCATGATAAGAGCTTTATGAAGAAAGTAACGAGTCTTTATCTCGCCTGTACGGTCGTCTGGAAGCTGAACAGCTGCACCGAGTAGTGGTGACGAATCTTCATCATAGTGCATTCTCCAGTATGCCGCCTTGACGCCCACAGTGGCAAAGAACCGAGACGGCTTCTCGCGGTTAGTCACGCGACCGTCTTTGGACCACGGGATACTCCGAAGAACATCATCGACAGAAGAGAGGTATTGTTTCCAGTCTCCTCCCAGAGGAGCCGTTGCAACATTGGCTTTGCGAGAATCAACCACCATGCGATAGCGGTCGGCGACATTCTCCTTGGTGAGGGGTTCCTCAGTGACGTTCCCAGGTTTGGGTACTAAGAAGAGTGGGTTGAAGTGTGTGTTACGGAAGTACTTGTATGAATTTGGGGTTATCTCTTCCAAAATACCGTCTTCCTCCATGGACTTGACGAGCCATGCTGCCGCCTTCCGCTCAGTATCATTTTTGAGCGGGTAGGTACACCGACCAGGTTTAGGTATGCACACACCTTCACGCCTAATTGCCTTGACCACCGGGAGATCACAGCCCTTGAGCCGCTGGGCGATGAGTTTTTTCGCCTTCTCGGATAAGTCGCCGATACGCAAAGTTGATTCTTCAGAGGGCTTCGGGACTGGCCTCGAAGTTGCCGCCATTGCAGCATTGTTGACCTCCACCAACCGACCAGATAGGTTTAACGCCTCCAAAGATACGGTAAGAATAGGGAAGTCTAGGTTTAGGCCTACTTTCTGGATAGATACCAAACCAAGAAGTATCATCGGAGATTCTGTATCGAGGAGCTTTCTAGGATACACCAATCCCTCGAGCTTACAAGCTGCTCCGAAGATCGAACATTTCAGAGAGATCTTGGAGGTTAAGGTGACAGTCGCACCGATACCTTGAATAAGACAAGGCCGATCCAGAGCTTGTATGCTATGCTTGACCCCGAGGTTAACGATGGTATCCTCAGGTATCAGGGTGTGAACACTGCCACTATCGAGAACTAATAGGACCTCCCACCGTAACTGGTAACTGGGACTGCTACCATCCTGCCGCCAGCTGCGTGAAAAGCCGAGAACACGATGTCGGGATTCTCTTCGACAGACTCGACGTCAACACTCTCCTCGACGGTCTCTCCCTCTTGCGATGTAACGACGGCGGCTACCACTCGCTTCTTGGGTAAATCGCCCGACTTAGCTGGGTGCAACTCTGGGTGCAAGGCCCAGCAGATGTCCTTATTGTGACCTCGTCGTCTACAGTGTGGACAGCGCGGACTTTTCGACGCCTCTTCTCCGGGCTGATTCCAGGATTTGGACGTTTTTCAGTCCTAGGTTGAGACCTTCGGTCGCCCTGAGGCTTGCCGCTATTCCCTTCTTTCACTGATTCTCCAGGAGGGAATTTTCGAGCTTGGTTTTAAATGTCGCTCCATCAGAGGCCTTTTGCGAGCTCTCGACCACTTTGGATGTAGGTTTCGGTCGCTCTCCTTCCCAGGGAAAGCGGTATGCCGAGGTCACTTGATAGGTACGAAGCCACGCCACCAGTGAATCGTATTCAACATCCAATGGGAATAACCTTCTTGTCTTAAATAGACAGAGTAAGCCGTCGAAAGTTCTTGAGTATAATAACCGCACGCTGATATGAAGAAGGATGGGTTGCTCGAAGGTAAGAGCAAACATCAGTGAGGTTGCGGAAAGCCTTCGTCTCCCGTAAAAGGAAGCCGTCCAAATTCTCATTCTCACCCTGCTTGATGATCAAGCCTTGATCACTCGCCACTCACGGTAGGCCGCGTCGTAGCTGATACATGGTATTTCTCCAAGAGTCAGGTGAGCGAGGATTGAACACAACAACTGCTCCCACGCTTTGCCCCATATCGCATCATCAGTAGATCCCAGCCGAGCCCGCGCCGCTTCTCGTTGCGTTGAAGTAGGAGCTTTCCATTTGGGACCACCACCTTTTCTCAGGTCATTGAGATTGCTGAGGAAGGAGTCGGAATATGGAGTACCAACGAAAAAGTTGATGGCAGCATCTATCCGTGGTCGTCTCGAGCTCGGCTCATCGTGTCGAGAATAGTAACAGATCAATACTGCCGCTATGAGGGCTGCGTCCATAGAGTAGTAGTTCTCTAACTCCGACACAAACTCTCGTAAGGCCTTCAGGAATGCCGTCCCCTGGCTCTCCGATAAGGACTTGTCCCAGCCTTTAGCAACATATCTGCTTAGACTCCACGGTGACTTGGACCACGTCCACCATCTGATGTCCTCGTAACCACGCCATTGGGCATACTGAGTTGCCGCCAGGATCTGGTTGATCATAGACTCCTCACGGCGAGCATAACCCACGGGATTCAGGACCGACTCCAGCAGTTTGCGGGCCGAAAGTCGTTGGTGTGTAGCCTCCAAGGATCCCTCTTTGATGACGACGCCCTCGTCAATATCCTCGACCCTATCTCTGTCCCCAGTATTGGCCGATTGGTACTCCTGGGCCTCAGAGCTCTCCGCTTGTGGTAGGTTCTCCTCCTCAGCGGTACCCAGTCTCTCCTCGGAATCTTCCGACGGTGGGGGTGCAGGTCTGGATGAGGTCCTCCGGGGAAATGACAACTAACATGGATATTCGTATTAGGACGGACTGATAATAGGTTGGACTATACGACTATGACGCGAGCACAATGAACGGAACATAGCGAATTGTGATCGTAAAAAGCGCTCGTCTTGATAATCGATAACGTTCAAGACGGATAGTATCAACAGTACTACCGTAGTACTACTACGACTAGACGAGGGCCCCCATTTCAAACGCCCCGCCCTCTGTACAGTAGCCTGGCCTACGTCGCCGTTCTAGTCGGGTGGCTTGACGATGGCCATCAACCACACTGGACTACACCGTTTCGGTACTATATACATCTTCAGAAGATGCCTCAACCCGAACTTGAGGAGCCTCACCATACTACGCAGACAATGATGCAATCGCAAGCTTACCACCCAGTACAGCCGGCTAGGAACGCAACGTGATACTGAACTAAAAACACTTCAATTGAATGATTGGCCGCGAAGTTGAGTGATAGCTCGTCAACTTCATACCATTCAGCTGGGACTTGTTGCCGGTAACGGGATCGTGAGGAAACGCGACACAGTGTCTGCTATCGAGTTCCGCTCCCGTTGTTTATAAGTACACTCAATCTGGCAGCGCGAGAACCCCACCGGCATCACTATCTCGTTGAGAGAAGCCGACCTGGCCTTGAGCTTGCGTAGGACACCCCTTGTGGCCGAATTATTCGTGAGGCAGTGTACGTATCCCACACGCTGCCGACCATACTCCAGAACTTTGAGAGCGACTCCGACGACTGCTAATTCCAATAAATTGATGTCACCTGCCAGAAACTTGGCTCGTGCCTGCCCGAGCAGGGGTGAAGCACCCCACCATTTCACCAACAGCGACCACAGCTCATCGTCATCTGTATCGTTAATATTGAACCACCATGTCTTGTCTCTCGCGCTCAATAGAAAAAGCACACTCGCCATCCCCCCTAAGCAAGCATCAGTGCGAACACACCACGTCGGAATACCAGAACCCGGAACCGTAGTGTCTGGACTGGCCACATACAGTATGCTGCATTGTCCATGTTCCCCGAACAAATCACCCAAAGAGCGTAATTTCCCACTCTCTCCTCCGAAGTCGACAAGGTTCGTAGATTATGCTTTGCTGCCACCGCTGTTAATTCCCTAATCACATTCAGCTCCCGGGCTAGAGGTCTCGCTATCTGAGCCGCCCATGATAAACGCCCCTCTAGCCGGTTGAGAACCTTGACCGACTTGAAAGCACAAAACAGCTCAATCCCCTCACAAATTTGTTCGATCTTGACTGATGAGCTCGAAGGATAATGCTATCCCCCTCTCCATTCAGTGCTGTCTCGATATCCAGAATAATAGCTCCCTCCGCACCGGAGAATCCGCTGGTATTTTCACCTTCTTGAATGAAATGGGTAACCCTACCATTACCAATACCAACAACGTGAGGCATGCAGCAAACTGCGCATGTCTCGGCAGTGCCGAGGCGGCACAGATGCAGACACATCATCCACATATAGCATCGAGCGAAATCAGAAGCGAAACTCTCCTCATCTGACTTTCTTAGTCGTCCGATCCAATCGACTTAAACCGTTCCGGCAAATCTAGGATCGCTAGCGCTACCGCTAGCAGCCGCTTCGTAACTCTGAAGCCAACCGCCGCTCCTCTACAGAATATGTTTTGGACTAGTGATCAGTCCGAAACAGCAAAGCGAACCTCATTAGCTACCTTCACATGTGGCCGCCATTTGTTAGCCATTTCAGTCTGGCCTTCCCTGTCCGCTGCCATGAAGCGCGAAATGAAGTCTTCATGCTCCCTCATAAAGTCTCGGACAGTCTCGCGCAGTATTCCGACAATACTCAACACTCCCTGCCAATTTTTCTTCTGCAAACGAGAGTCTCGTTACGAGACGTGGTCCCGCTGCGTCACCCATGGTGCCCCGGCACCATCTCTGCGTTCGTTGGTCGGGACAGCCCCTTTCAGCGCCTCCAACTCAATTTGCCACGAATGCGACGCCCTCGTCATTCTTCGAGCATTCCGGCGTTTTTCTTGTGCTGCCGACCTTGCGTGAGGCATAATATCCACACACAAGACTACTAAAGAGGAACATTGTTTGCCGCTAAGCCGATATGAAACAACCGATATAAGCGACCGTTCGCTCATGCGTAACTAAAGAATCTCATAGCTCCGAAACAATCCTGCTGAGAGTCTACGGATAGCCTTACTTTTGCAGCGCATACAATCTCTCTTATCCGTGCAGCGGACTTCGCTGCCTCATCTTTCAGCCGCTCTTCAGTATATATGTTAATCATATATATCTCAATCTATGGGGTTTCTCGATTCAGGTGTGATGTGATGGTGGTCGGAATCTAATATCCGACGAGGTCCTCATATGGTCAGCATCACATGGAGTCGTTGTGAGCACCAATGGGAGCAACAGCCCGTTATGAGAGACGACATGCAATGGTGTCGTCTGCCTTGCGTAAATATATGTTGGATATGCAATATGGTATAGGAGCACCTTATATACAATCTACATTTGCTCTTGCTGCTCTGCCTCAGGATCGACTTGGCAGTTATGGTCTTGCTTGGTATGGTTCAAAGAATTTATGCCCTCACTATGCCCTTGATGCATGGTGGGTTGCCAAGGCCGCCGGTTTCGTTGACTGAACTTAATCTTCATGATGATTGGTCGAGACAAGGTGTTTTTGGTAAGATTAATTTAGCCGAGTCTGGCAGCGAAGGAGATGGAAATTCAACTCTGGCTCCAGTGATCCTCTAACCATTTACACTTAACCAGGGGAACTTTGATAGAGTTAGTCGACTAGGTGGTGTGGAGAGGACCGAAGACTTGCAGGGCTCCCCCCTGAAGCTTCGGTCACGGGACAGGTGCCCGACTAGGTGGTGTCGTATCAACGACTCACGTCTCACACGGGTCTGTCCCGTCACCCAGTCCACTAAGAAAAAAAAAACTGTCAGTTACTAATAACTTTCCTTCGGAATCCTCGGATTATTGAAGCATCTGCGAGCGACCAAGCTCGCTCGCCCATCGAATCACTTCCTCTGGAGTTGACCCTAGCCTCTGGCGAGAC